CCATCTGGCTGACGTGTCCAGCGTTCCTGTTACGACTGTGACGGTGGCCCATGTACTACCAAAGAGACCTTTGGACTCATAGAGCCCGAGTCCAACAAGGAGATTCGTCCTCAAGTGACAACTTTCGTAACAAATGTGCGACCAAGAAGTCCACTGAGTCGACACTATTTTGAACATTTCTCGAAATGGACGACGCTCGTGCGAGCGATAGCACATTTAACGCATATCACAGACTGCTTCCATCGCCCGATGAGAGGCACCACTGGTAGCTGCAATGGATGGCATCACTGCACAGTGCCACGCACTGAAGACGAGCTTTCCAGAGCAAGGAAATCAATCTTCCGCTGTGTGCAACAGGCAGCTTATGCAAGTGAGATCAAGGCCATCAACAAGGGAGAAGACCTTCCTAGGGTCAGCACCCTCAGGAAGCTAAACCCCAGGATGGACAAAGACGACTTGCTCAGGATCGGTGGTCGGCTAGGGAATGCAAAATTAGATGAGAATGAACGAAACCCCCTCATAATCCCAAGCCAGAGCCACATCGCAATCTTACTTGTGCGCCACTACCACGAGAAGGTCAAGCACCAAGGTCGGCACTTCACAGAAGGAGCAATCCGATCTGCAGGGCTGTGGATCGTTGGAGCAAAGAGGTGCATCGCCAGCACAATCCACTAGTGTATCCGGTGTCGTAAGCTACGTGGAAAACAGGAAGAACAGAAAATGGCAGACCTCCCAGCCGATCGACTCAGTGTGGAACCTCCCTTCATCTCTGTAGGGATCGACGTGTTCGGACCATGGACAGTCATCTCCCTCCGCACCAGAGGAGGGCTCGCGAACAGCAAACGTTGGGCAGTGCTGTTCACCTGTATGAGTACACGAGCAGTGCACATCGAAGTCATCGAGTCCATGGACTCTTCGAGCTTTTTAAATGCACTCCGGAGATTCTTCGCCATCAGAGGGCCAGCCAATCAACTCCGTTCTGATTGTGGAACCAATTTCACTGGAGCATGTAAAGAGCTTAAGATCAATACGGAGAATGTCGAAGATGATTCAATCCTCCCCACTCTTCGCATATGGGTGGAGCCTGGGAACGCATGATCGGTATTGCTCGACGCATTCTCGACTCCATGCTATGTGATGTCGGGTCCACACGGCTCTCTCACGAGGTATTGACCACTCTCATGGCCAAGGTCTCAGCCATAATTAACTCAAGACCCCTTATCCCCGTCTCAACCGACCCGGAGTCACCATTCATCTTGACTCCTGCTACACTTCTTACCCAGAAAACAGATGTGCTCACAGCACCTACCGAGGAGGCCAGCACTGCAGACCTCTACAGACGTCATTGGAGACAAGTGCAGAGCTTCGCAAACACGTTCTGGCGTCGCTGGAAAAACGAGTACCTTACGACACTTCAAGTGCGCAACAAGTGGCAGTCTAACAGACCAGACATCCAAGAAGGCGACCACGTCCTACTGAAGGACAACCAAGCCAAACGGAATGAGTGGCCAATGGGCCGCATCCTCAAGTCGATTCCAAGTGCCGATGGAAAAGTTCGAAAGGTCGAGGTTATGATTACGAAGCAAGGTGTCGCAAGAACCTTCATCAGGCCCATAGTCGAGATAGTACTACTTCTCTCTCGCAAAGATATGGACAAATAAGTCGACCCGTTGAAGTTGTTATACACTTGTTTATGAGATAGGAAATAAATGGTGGTATCTCCTAGATACCAGACAGGGAGTGTCTTGCCTCACGGCAGATGTGGAGCGTACGTTCACAGGAAGTTCCTGTTTTTTTATGCTAATTTTGGTCACGTGACCAGGAAGTCACGATGTTAGATTTCAGTGAACCACGCAGGCATGGGCCATCTTACTCATAATTCAAGATGGCGGCACGCATCGCATCTCAGTGAGACCACAGCCACACTTGTCCATTGTGGGAGCTTAAGAAGCATTGTCTTTTTACCTTGTTACAATCAATAAATGACGATTGGAGTTGGACGTTCATCCTGGCTCCGAGGGTTTATTGAACGCAAGGTTATCTACTCGACTAGCGGTGCAACGCAGCGCACAGCGAGGCCGAGATAGGGATTATGTTTGCAATAACCACAACACAAGCACTCAAAATGCAAACAAAAGGAGACAACTCTGATAATGTCAGATAAAAGGGTAAAAACCTATTACTATATCTTGCTACTGGCAAAGGAGGTCTCATAATGTAAATGCTTACCCCGAGCTCTCAATACTCTGATAGTGCGCTGCTTTTGAGTTGTACGCCTTTTGGCGTCATCTGGTCCAACACCAGTGGAGACTAGGTTCTAAGAAAAGCCATCTCGGGTGTGGACCAATCAATTTCAAGGACAGTGCATATCATTATCAGAGTTGTCTCTTTTTGTTTGCATTTTGACTGCTTGTGTTGTGGTTATTGCAAACATGATCCCTTGTATAAAAGTGGCAGTTTTGGTGCCAGATAAAAGGGTAAAAACCTATAACAATAGGTAACGTGTTGGGCAATGACCCTTTTTCATAGAGCATATGCCAATGAGGCTACGGCTGTGACTCATACTATACAGAAGAAGTGGCCACGCATGACCGGCAGCTATTCCGAGAGCTAAGAGTTCAATGATTATTATTTGAGACGTGAGCCAAGCTTATCATCCCGTTCAGTTGTTTTCGTTCCAACATACGAACACGCAATGCAATGTGGATTTATATAGCGGCGTCCAAATGCACCCGCATCTCAAGACGCTGCAAAGAAACAGTGTGCATATTGATTTTATTGAGCAAAGGCAGTGAGTCATTGGCAGAGGAAAAACAAGGGTATATTTGCCTGAACTTAACAGCGGCAATGAGTAGCACGCATGGCAGGTGGTGAAGAGCGTTTCAGACTATATGGCCAGTGGAGCAAAATACGTGACCTCGCACTGAGCGAGGGAAGGTTGACTGGTGATTTCGGAGGTGGGGTACAAAGCAAGCTCCGCCACGAAAGGGATCCCAAGGTCGAGTCGGTGTCCTTGTGGCACACAATGCTTGTAATAAAGCAGCAACACAAAGTTACAGAAACATTTATTTGTTGTGTGCTGATGCAGCCCACTCTTTAGGTTATACAAGACACCGAACGTTTTCTTGTACATGTGAGGAGTTGCTGTGGGGGTTTTTTTCTGGAGCATCCTTGAAAAGAGCTCCAGGTTTATAAATGTCCAAAAATTACAGCCTTATCGCGAGATCTTCTGACGTGGCCAGTGGCGTAACTGTTGACAGGGTGGTAGGGGGGTGGCAATTGTTTCCTTTGCACCAGGGCACATGCCCACACCACGGTTAAGACACTGGGAGGTAGCCTCAACCATAGCAGGCGTAGAGTGACGTTAACGCTGCATGTGCGTTCCGTCGGCGTGGGTGCAGTGAAGTGGTCTCTCTGGCGAATATGAATCTTTTAAACAAAGACTCATACCGGCGATTCTTTGTTTAAATCGAAAGCATGCGCGACACATCATTGTCACCTCCATGCGTGTTGAATAAAGCTTATTTGCACGGATTGATGAGTTGTAGAATTGCGACGCACTCTCATACATCTGTCGCTCGCGAAACACATACTTCGTGCACTTCAAATAACGTGTTCACGTGACGCACACTACTTGTTACGCCGTACGCGATCGGTGTTTAAACCCAATCTGTATCCATCCTCATATTGCGGTAAAAAATATATTATGCAGCGCTTACAGTGCGTTACAACATACATGTACTAACCGGGACATTCAAAATCGGCAAGCCTCGTCGACTAATGATTTGCAAATACACATACTTTGAAGTGTAAATTGTATACGTTTGGCACAGTGTAATAATGTAAGTGCTTTACACATGTCACCGTTATACCTTGACCATGGAGCGGTACACAAAATGACATTGCTGCAACAATCATCGATACACGAAGCGCTACGTGTCGTGGGCGCTATCGCGTCCGTGGGTGGTTGCGCAACAACGGTGGAGCGCCTGGCGGATCCAACTCGGAGCAAGGGTGGCAATAGTCGGGGTGGTGCATCTTGCCAGCCACCTCGGGCTGTTAACTCTCAAACACGTGGGGCTTTGCCCCGTGTCCTCGTGCCAGCGAGGCTTCGACTCTTGGCCTCAAATTGCCCCTCGCCTGTCACAAGCGCTGCGGTGACGCAACAGTCAACCAACAACCTATGTTTGAGCTGAGCTGGTGCACTGTCAGATCGGGCAAAAGCACAAATTATAATGAGCACCTAGAACATGGGAGCCAGAACAGCTGAGACTCCAGGGTTAGAATCCGGGTTTTAGCCACTGCCACATTGCAGCGTTAGTCATATGGAATATATAAAAAATGCGGATTATTGTTTTTGATATTTTAAGGACTGAGTAACGAGAAACGTTAGAGTAACCAATTTCAATTAAGATTTTTGGCTGAGCACTCACAATCCCGGCTGAGTGCACGTGTCGTGAGTCCGTAAATGCACAACGGTTACGGGTACTGTACATACTGCACATAAACCAGACAACGAAAACCCTAGTTACCCTACCCCCTCTACTTCGACTATCACAAATGTGGGCCATGATCGAGTCAATAATCGATTTTTTTTCTTTCAATATCGGTTGTAGCGTCTGCCTGAGAGATTACATCACGTTCGTTGCATTAATTATAATTTGAAAGTGAGTTGCACATATCAAGGCCGTATCTATGGAGTCAACATTGGGGGGGGACCAAATTTTTCAGGGGGTCTAGGGGTCCCCCCCCAGAAAAAAATCGAAATTTTAAAACTCATTTCCTGCCTAAAATATTAAAAAATTCACTAACACAAAGGATGGACTTTTTTTTTACAATAATGTCAAATAGTGTATTGTATTACATTGCTCGGTTTTTTCATTTTTACCTTTTCTTGTTTCATTGTATGTAATGGCAGAGAATATAGATTAATAAAGTACAACCTTAACCACAATCATATAAACAGAAATCTATTTTATAGCAACATATTGGGGGGGGGGGACATTTTGAGCATCTTTGAATATTGGGGGGGATATGTGCCCCCCAATATATATTATAATTACGGCCTTGGCACATATCTAAAATAATCGAATGTTAACACGCTCGAAATATATGCACGTACCGTGCGAGTATCAACCGATTTTCATCGACTAATCGTTACCTCCCTCTCATGTTCTGCGTAAAGCGACTCAAATAGATGATAGATCGATAAGTCGACGGAGACGCTGATCTGTCAAGAAAGCGGTTCTCAAAAGCCATTCCCCAGCCGCACACATACACAGACAAACCCGCCACAAGTCGTCTCAGACCCTCGTATGTTGCGCTCCGGGCGCATTCCCTTCTCATCCCTTCATCTTCCTCACCCTCTCCAACTCGGACGACAGCCAGCCCAGCGCTTGCCCTCTCTAAGAGCAGCCACAGCGCTCCACCACCATGTCCGGTATCTTGCCGAAGATGATCTGCTGCTGGTCGTTAAAGTAGAGCATGGAGATGGGCGACATCTTCGTGGGTGCGCAGCACGGCCCCGCAGAGCCGCTGGGGTTGGCCTGCTGCACGAGATGCGTGTGCGGGTACTTCTGCAGGAATATGTGCTCGCACTGGCCCGAGCAGTAGTTGGCCTTATAGCGCTTCGGCGCAATGATCCAGTCCCAGCCGAACGCCTCGAAGTCGACGACGAGGGAGTATCGACAGCAGCGCGACTCGCTGCCCGGGTCGTTGCAGTCGAGTCCGACGGCACGGCGCGAGCGCTTCTGCAGGTCCACCAGTTGCACCTCGAGAAAGGGCTTCTGTGGTGCGGACGCAGCGGTAGGAGCAGAGGGGAGGGGACAGACCCAACCAGACGATCAGATGGACAAGGCAAGGGAAGATCCCTCTGTTCTCCATTTTACGAGAGGTTAATTTCTCACGGGATATTTTCGGGAGCGCTGTTAGGCTGCACGGCACTGCCACTTGAGTGCAAGTTGCCTCCCGTCCATGATGATACTGTGTTCAGGAGATGAGCAACGAGGCGGTGCTCATCTCCTGTTCACAGCCCTGTACCAATGGTGGGAATTCGAATTCCCTATGAAAGGGGACGAGCCTATCCATGGGACGGTCAACGTGAACTTCCCCACAAAGTGGTATCTTCTCTACCCCCGGACAAATGATGGGCTGAATTAACCCCGAGCCATTATTTAAACTAGCAACGTTCCTATTTGCCCTGCTGCTGAACCTAATCCTCGACGGTACGATGCTGTGACTGTGAGGTGGCCAAGGAGATGGCAATAAAACAGTGGAGTTAATCCAACTGCCCGGATGACACCCTCGTTATGCGCAGTGGTTTTTCTCCACTTTCTCAGGTTTCTTGCTAAAATAGTCTTGCGACAAAGTATGAATTATCATTATATATTCATGAGTCTAGTTCCACGTTAAATATAATACGGTAACAAAACATAAAGTACTGCGTGGGCAGTGGTTCAAACATACAGTATACAAACTCAGCACTTCCATCATAATTACTGCACTATAACAGGAATTTTATATTACGCAATGACCCTTTTCAGAATCGCTCTCTAAATTGACTTTATGGCAGTAACCCGGGGTGCCATCGTGCCCCGGCTCTCGCACAATGTCCGTGATGCGGTCATGTTTAGTCTGTTGATGGTCGGCGACGCGGCAATTGACTCATCTCGACGAGCTGTACACGATGCACCGCTACGGTGCGGACGTGCGTTCAAGGTTTCAGCGCAATCGTCCTCGCGGCGTTAGAACATCGCGGAATAGCACTTATTTCGGATTGATTAATACCCCAGTCGCAGAGTTAAGTAACGCCCCTGGAAAAAATAGTGTCCCAGAAGTAAAGTATTTCATTGCCTCGGCCGTATTGTATTATTTGGTACCCCGGGGTACCGCCGTAAGGATCAAATGGCCCTTGAAAAGTAATTTTCAAGTTCCATTGGCCAATTTTAAATTTATAACACCGATAACTGAGGTCGTACATTTTTCAGTTTCGTGCATGCGAGGGAATACAACTCAAAGATCCGCACCGATGGGTTCGCGAATCCACTTGATGTACTTTCAATTCAGTTGGTTGCTACTCCGCCGAGCATGTTGCACGAGGGCTTAGCTCATCATTGATAAATATAAACTATGCACATGTACCGACATGTTTGCAATCCACTGCTGGATGAGGACCTCTCCACGCCGTGCAGGACGCGATGGTTATTGAATCATACTTTTCCACGATAGTGGGTGAAGTTGAGGGAACAGGCATTGGAACGGTAAGGACTTCAAGTTGTTTATTAATACATCTTCGATACAGCTTCGGATCTCCCTTTCCGCAGATGTCAACCCGCTCGGGTGGCTGCGCTGCCCCACGCCACGTGGCGCTCACCCGCTCCCCAACACGCCGCAGGCTGGCGGCGCGTTGGGGAGCGGCTGAGCGGCTGGAGGTCGAGCCGCCACGTGACAGGTGGAGGTGGCGAGGCAGCAGCAACGCGGAGCTCATCTTCAGTCTTCGAACACAGACCCCGCACCTTGCTGTGCCCCCGGCTGATATTCTCTCCCCGGCGGCTAAGCCCCGCCTCTGGCCACGCCCCTCATGAAACCTTCGGGAACGTTCCAGAGGCTTCCCTGGTGGATCCGCCCCATCACCTTTACCCCAGATGGGATGCCTACTGTAGAACACATTCCTGCGGAGGGAGCTGGTAGGAATGTTGGGTTGCTCGGTCAATTGCCAGGGTCAACAGCAGCGTGGTGTATTCCGCAAATATGCCCGACTGTGAGGGCGGGCACAAGCAGGCGTGAGTAGGTTAAACGTTGAGTTTTATAAGGGCATCATGGGGTGACCAGCCCCTCCCCACCCAGCCCCACCCCTCCCACCTCCCACCCAGCCCCACCCTCCCCACCCAGCCCCTCCCCACCCTCCCCACCCAGCCCCTCCCCAGCCTCCCCTCCCCACCCAGCCCCTCCCTCCCCACCCAGCCCCTCCCTCCCCACCCAACTCCTCCCTGCACGACGGACAAAATAATCCCCTGTGGGCTGGTGTAATCAGTAGGTTCCTACCAGTATAAACCTTAGACTGTACAAGGTAATGTACCACCCACAATAATACAGGAGATGGCGCTCTTATTACAATAGGACAGTTTAACAATGTGGTTTGCTGCACTTCCCTCTGCTGACACCAGAAACGCCGATGACACCGGTGTTTTATGGTTGTTCACCCATCCAAACAATGTCCAGGCTCAACTCTGCTTAGCTTTCAAGATTTGAGGATATCTGGCTCTATGACTTCATAGCGAATTTTCAAGAGCGTGAAGGGACGGAAACTTGACACGGAGAATGTTCACGTAAACTTACGAGTACAAAAGTCAAGGAGATCGTGGTTGAACGTTCCACATGTCTATGATGGGAACCAGTCTTTCCACAGAATTAACAAATGTTGACTTCAGCAAAGTGCTTCTCATTTTATCGACCACGGAAGATGGATGGACTGATGAGTTCATCTTCAACTATGATTTTAACTTAAACTCACAGCCTTCCCGTAATGAGTCAAGTGCGGTAACCATATTGCCATTCAGCTCGATACGCCTCTATTCCAGGTATCCTATTCAATCTATAAATGATATCTTCATGCTATCATTAGTAACAGCGTGTTGAATCTGCACTGACCAGCGAGCTGAAACATCGTTAAATAGACTCCCACGATCTGCACGGGGTATAAGGGAGTCTTTCATCCAGCAGTGGATTAACATAATGACCTTTTGCATGCACTGTACATAAATACGAGGTTTAAAAAAGCTACGTTGTGTAAATCCACCGCTGGATGAAGCTTTCCGAATGCCGTGTGGGTCGCGGGGATTTTATTTTGACAATGTTTTTGGTCCATTGAGTTGCTGAAGGCAGGGAGCAAAGACACGCGAGCACAGATATAGAGCACAACACTCGATTTTGCTGCACCGCCGTCTGATGCCCCACCTCCGATGAGCACGGTTGGATTCGTAGGGTGCGAAAGAAGTTCTAAATAGTACATGCCCACAATTGACGCAGCCTGGCGTCTACAGGATCGGAATGTTACGATTATTTTACTGGTAGGAACCTCCTGGTTACACCAGCCCCCAGGGGAGTATTGTGTCCGTCCGTCTGTCGTGCAGAGAGGGGCTGGGTGGGGAGGGAGGGAGGGGCTTGGTGGGGAGGGTGGGGCTGGGTGGGGAGGGGAGGGTGGGGAGGGTGGGGAGGGGCTGGGTGGGGAGGGTGGGGCTGGGTGGGGGGTGGGAGGAGTGGGGCTGGGTGGGAAGGGGCTGGTCACCCCGTGGTGCCTTTATAAAACTCAACATTTAACCTGCTCACGCCGGCTTGTGCCCGCCCTCACAGTCGAGCATATTTGCGGAATACACCACGCCGCCGTTGACCCTGGCCATTTACCGAGCAACCCAACGTTCCTACCAGCTCCCTCCGCAGGAATGCGTTTAATGCGACTGCTGTCCACGATAACTCTTTTTAGAGGCCACGGGCACAATTCACGCGCCGGTGAATAATTTAATTTGAGAAAGCGTGTAGTGTAGTGTGTATCGTAGTGTATCTTAGCTATCACCACCAGCAGTAGTGCCGAGGCGGTGCACTGCCCAGTCGAACACTCCACGCAATGATTCGAGAGATTTGCTCGGGACAGAAAGGCGCGTCCACGCTGGAAGCGAGCAAAGAGTAATTCTACAACGCACATTCTTTTAGGCACCACTAGAGCAATATAGATTGTCTGATATATATTGTCCTGTTGTATATTACCCTACTGCTGGCTAGAATAATAATAATAGGCCTATAATTTTTAATCTAAGCGCTGTATAAATAATTACTGTGTGCACTACACCGCGAAGTATGCCATGGTTATTGAATGAACATGCAATGCATGAAGTGAGGACCGAACTTATGGTTACAGAAGCGCTTTTTGACGTCTACAACCCCCATTTTGCGTATACAGTTTATTCTGTTTTAGGGCAGTGGTATTGGTCGCAAAGTTGCTTGTTGTAACTGTTATGTTTGTGCTTGTGCACCACTGCCCGAAGCAGCGGTAACGCCTTTAGTTGTTTGCTTTAAAATGAATGTCGTGCGCATCGTAACCCCGTGTCAATGCCTCCTTAATCACCACGCGCGGCAGTAGCAGCAGCAAGCGACATTGACGCCACGGCATCGCGCACGAGAGATAAAAACGATCGAACGCGAGCCCACGTACCAGACCATCATCCTGCGGGCCGGGCTCAGTGACGGCCAATTCGTTTCCCTCTGCGTCCACGGCGTGAATCTCCAGTCCCCAATTCCTCTCGGGGTACTTGAAGCTGTTCTGCAGCAACTTCTTGGAGTCGATGCGCTGCCAGTGTCCTTTGGGCGACGTGAGCCGCGTCTTCCAGCTCCTGATGTGGATGCGACCCACGGTGCCGCTGGCCGCCGGTTGCAGGCGGATCAGCTGCACGGTCACGTCCGTGTCCTTTTGCACGGGGCGCAAGTAGAGCCACAGGTTGGCCCTGTGGACCGTGTGCATCGTGGTGCTGGGGTTGAACTTGAAGAAGCAGCACTTTGGCCTGCCGCTCACTTGCACTTTGGGGTCGACTGTAGCGGGAGATATGGGGTGGGGGCATATGGGATGGTGGGAACGCGGAGCGGGGGGGGATGAGCAGTGGGGGGTTGGCACACGTGTGTCACATCGTGGAAAGTTAACGAAGAACGCGAGCGAGTGAGCTCAAAGTCTGGGGGTTTTTACGCGGAGCATTTTCCGTAATCGCTGAATGGTGTGGAATTTTGTTCTGCCTGTACCGGGTTTTTCTCCTTGACTAAACAAGTTGTTAATGAGCTAATAAGTATAACCCGTAAAAACAAAGCTTTTCACTATAAATCCTTTATATGCGTGGCGGCTAGAGTCCTCTCGTCCTCTGGCTTGAGATGGCTGCCACCTATGGGTCAGATGATTGTGTGCCAGTATTAAGCAATTGGTAATTAAATATTTAATTTGTTTTCCCTAAACAGTGTAAAATTTTGGGAAAAAAATTTCACGAACATTAATTGTCTCGCACAACGAGTCTGTGTGCAAAATGTCAGCTCGATTGGATCACGGGAAGTGGGTTAAAAAACGACCGAAAGATTTGCACGGTCGTAAGCAAGCAAGCACGCAAGCATGCGAACTTAATATAAAGGATTTAAAAAGAAACAGAACTTGACCAAAACTCTAAATGCAAGACCCCTCTGGAATAATGACTCGGTGAAGCTGATCTAATACTGCGTGACGCATGCCGTTAACCTGTACGCCTTGTCGTGTGACTCGAATGGTTTTTACGCTCGCAGTTCGCAGTCGCAAGTTTGCGAGATCAAATCCCCACTCGGAAGTCTAACTCTTCATTTAATATCTCATGTGGTCGATCAAATGCTTACCAAGTCGTGGCAAAGTCAACCAGTGGTTTGTCCTATGGATACCTTCACCCCCGCCATGAGAACTTGGATCCGTCTCAGAGCCGCTCAATCGAGCGGGGGGGGGGGGGCATTTGAATGTGTTGGTTAATGTGTATGGAAGCACGTACGCTCTTTGGCCATGACGATGACCGTCTCCGTGGTGGCATGTTCCTCCTCGTCCCTCTGCATCATCGTCGACGTGAAGACGGGTGCGTCGGCCGCGCCGCCGGGGAATCCGGACTGCTCCTCGAATCCGTAGCGCTGCAGCAGAAACTGCAGCGGCGGAGCGTGCACAGGCAGCAGGCGGTGCACCGTCTCGCGGCTGATGTTGGGCGCCTGCTGCAGGCGGAGCTCGCTGAGCACGTGCGCGCGGATCGACTCGAGACGCCACATTCTGTTCTGCTCGCGCCGGGCGCACGCCCAGCACAGCCCGGCCTCTTCGGCGGGCATCGCCTCCCCCAGCGGCACCGGCGGGACCGGCTGTGTGCGGTTGGGCAACAGCAGCGGCTCGCGGGCGAGCAGCGGAGGGCAGAGAGCCACTGCGCACAGCAGAACGTATGCGCAGCCGCGCGCAACGCCCGCACGCTCCATGAGGTCGGTAGCGATTTTGGATGTTCGGTCAAAGCGAAGGGAACGAAGAAGAGACGAGGAAGTAAGGGAGGGGGGGGGTCAGGGGATTATGGAGGGTCAGTCGAATGGGACACAGCGGCCGTGCGAAGTCGCTTAAGGTACGGTGACGTCCACGATGGAGGTGGTGGAAGGACGCGAGAGCGAGGCGTGCACGTGCGCGGCGCACGTAGAGGAGAGACGTCTCTCTTTGTTGACGCGGAAACCGTGTTGCGTGCAAGCGCACAAGCCAGTGGACCTGCTGCTCTATCGGGTGCTTGTGTTTATATACACAGAGGGAGCGGTGAGAGCGTGGGCCGCCAGCTTGCGAGGCTGCAGCTATTGGCTCGCAGAGAGGGGCTCGTCAGAGTGCGCCTTTCTGGCGTAAAATCCGCATGCGTTGCTCGTGACAAGCGAGTCCCCGGTGAGACATGACACTCGCGAAGCACTCCTCCTCCTCCATCCTCCACCACCTCCCTCTTCATCCAGCCCGCAACTACCCCATATCACCTCTACGTTAATCCTACTCCTCTCCCTAGAAACATCGACACCCAAAGAATATCGACATTGAGACGTGATCTTGGAACGCGCTCCGAGCGCAGTTGATAAGTGGACACGAGGAGCGAATAGCAGTCATCTTTAATCGCACGTGCCTCCGTAATGGGTCAGATGTACATCTTGGCAACGCAGCTGAATTTTTCTTGTTGTTGAAATTTTTGTTCGTTCCATTGCTGGTAATGGAGACATCGGAGTTTTGTCGACACAACTTGCACGAATATAACCCGTGGCTAATACAGTACGTGAATCGGGCCCGATTTGACATGCGCCGTAGGCCTACACATATAATAGGTGCGCGTGTTAGCAAATGTCACTTGTTTGGGAGGCCTTCATCCAGCCATAAATTGACTAAGGGAAGCCTCGTCTATTTACAAGAGTCTGCATTGAGCTGTTTGGCCATTTTCATTAACGAGTGATTGCCTTCGCGTGGCAGGAACCAGGAAAACCCGAAGTGAACCCAGAACGCATACGAAGAGGGGTTGACGCTCAGCATTGCCATCTTCTGGCCACCACCAAGTCCCACCCACGTCTACAATACCCGGCGAGGCTTCTTGGTCACCCATCCAAGTATTATAAGCAGAACTCTGCTTAGCCAATGGAGATCATGCACAGTTAACGTGTTGTAATCAATGAACTGTAGTCAATGTCTTTATCACCGCCAACAATGGGGCATGTCGCTAAATGGATGTTGGCGCGTGTTGACCGTTACGTCAAGATGTGAATCGAGCTCAAATTGTCAATCATCGGCCATGATCTATCCACTCTTGAATGAAGCCGCTGCCACTTCTCACAGTCCTGGGATACAACAATCCATCCGGCTCCCAAACACGATTTTATTTTATTGCTCCGTCACCCGCGACGGATATTCTCTCGGGCGTCTTCTCTCCTTTGGCTCCCAACACGTCCTTAGTCTCGACCATTGACCATCATCACTTTTAGCTACGTGTCCCGCGAAGCCCACTTTTCTTAACTCAATATGATGTCTCTAACGTGTTTTTTGTATACCCTCTAACCCAGGGGTCGGCAACCAAAATAACAAGAAGAGCCATTTCTTTCCAATTCGGTACAAAATTCAGTATTTCAAGAGCCGCAATGCATCTGTGTGCATACGTACTCATCGTCAAGAAGCAGCCCGTAAAGAGCCGCATGCGGCTCTGGAGCCGTAGGTTGCCGACCCCTGCTCTAACCCATCTGTTATTCCTGTGTCTTGTATCGTATGGCGTTGTAGCTTGAAAGTATAAAGTCACGCAACACGAGTGCGTTGGCTCAACGCGTTTCTTGACACCCCTCTCCTGCGCTCTGCTCCCACGCCGCCTCCGCTGTCGTGCGTGACGTCTCTGTAATTCCAAGCGTGGAACTTTCCATTACACTGGGCACGTTTCTGTTCCGTGTGTCATAGCGAATCATTTACACTGATTTAAGATGGCATTTGGCAATGAATCGCATATGTTTCATGAAGTCATAATTAGACTAAATTGTATATCTCGTAATTTAATTGCGTTGCCACGGCGATTATAACACGTTACGTCAAATCCTACGTCTGTGCGCGCATATTTTTTTATTCACAATATTCATCACTCCAAACTGAAAACTTCTCCCGTCTCAACTAATCAACTGAGGACCGTGCTTACCCATTTTGGAGGTGATGGGCCAGTGTTGGAAATTCCACATTCTCATGGCAGTAGAACGGGTCATTCATCAGCCGTTAATTGTTGACTCCCCGCAAAGTTATAGCTGTCGTATCGATCCCCACAGAGACGCTATGAAGATAAGTATGCTTCATTCTTAACCCTTGTGATTTTTTAGTGTCCCATTAAGATCTGAATAGAAAGCAATTGGCAGGCTTTTGACCCTTGTGCTTGGAAGCATAACTGCAATGAATACATCACTCCAAACAGAGAGCATTACTACTGGCCAGAGCCACTAAGGACAGTGGTGATATCTACCTAGTCCTGCAGCACTATCCTCACCAACTATCGTTTCATCAGACAACCTCTATAATTCACACAGCGCAGGGAGGCCTTCATCCAGCAGTGGATTAAGAAATGGCAATAGGTTTGTTTTTGGGGTTTCTAGCTCGGCAAGAAATTCCTCAGTTGGATTTTGTTACAATGATAGTTGTATTACTCCATCATCTTGATTCGGCCCACATGGCTTCAAAAAACCAACAGCATTCTGTCCCCTTTTGTCACCAGCTAGATGGTGCTTGCATACAGGTGGGATTTATATAGCATCTCAAGGCAACTGTACAGAAACGTTGGACAAATGTACGTTATAAAAAGAGGCAGTCGGTCATATGCAGAGGGGGTTCGCGTTCATTTATTTAATTATAACTCAAAGAGACCAGGATGAGTCTCATTTGCAAGCGTCATCTGGAAACATGGATGGTCTTGCGCCTGGACTTGAACATGTGACGGGGGTCAACAGCACAGATGGCTGGGTGGAAGAATGTTCTAGTTCTAGACGAATAAATCACAAGCACGATTTATCTCATTAAAAATAACTTGTCACAAGCAGCCGAGTGGATGGGAGTGGGAGGGAGCAGCGTGATTGGTGTTGGGTTTGGGGCCGCGGGCAGTGGCGGCTCCTGCAAAATCTCTCAGGGGGGGCAAATGTCTGGATGATTGATAAGGATAAGGTCCACCCATGCAATGGATAAATTAACAGCTTAAGCATGTAAAGGCAACTTCACTTCTTTAATATTAATGCAAAATAAAGTGACTCTTACAATACATCTTGTTTGTTTCTATACTCACTATTATTACAATCCACTCAGTTTCTTTTATTAAAGATTCCACTAGGTGGCGACAAATAATATTGTTGACTGAAACGTGCTTACGTATGATGACGTAAGCACGTCAGTGCGAGCCCTCCCGGAAGTCATAGAGAATGCATTGCAGCGCCCGCCGTTCGAAAAAAAACATCTTTGAATGTAAGTCTATGGGAACACTCTGGGCGATTCTCAGCCAGAGTGAAATCGCCCAAAAAGAGGCGGTACTCCACAGAACGTGAAATGACGCTGATTGGACTATATCCAGAGGCACAGTAACGGCTCGCGTAACTCTGTGGTTGAATGAGATTGGTGGTGCGTCACCCAATCGCCCTAATGAAGAAACCGCCCCTGGCCGCGGGGTTGTTGCGGAAACGCAGGACCCCTCCCCCCGCTCGTGCCCTCATCATGGTCGATGGCTATATCTGGATCGCTTTGACGTGCACCACGTTGCATAACAGAAAGTCCACTATTAGCGAGCTCGCGTTATCATGCTGTGCCAGTGCCGATAATTATGTTGCAATCCTCAAGATATTCGCGAAGCTCTTTTACATCGTGCTCACGAATGGTACAATGTGCATTATTATCATCATACTAGCCTTTTGCCCGTCCAAGGACGGGTGTATTGCAGTAAATCTGAAACTTGCAAGCGAAAAGCAGACCGCGACGTGATATTCATTGCATTAATTCGTGTGCATTTTGTAAGGCCCGCGGTGACACCGGCCGATTTCATTTGAAGGTTTTAATCGCTTGTTCATCATGACGTCCTTTTTACTTTGATATCTCAACAGCGTTACGGAGATCGCGTGACGTGAGGGTTGTGCCTTTGTAGTGAGGGTTGTGAGTTGACGCCGAGGAGAGGGGAGGAGGCGCCTCGCCCCCCCCCCCCCATGTGGAGTGACGTCACCCGCTAATTAATATAAATGGGGGGGGCGGGGTTTCCATTTGGAAGACGTCACCCCGTCATAATTATTAATGAGGGGGGCTGTTCGATGTGAAGTGACGTCACCCGCTCATGATTATTGAGGGACGGATCCATGTGAAGGACGTAACCTGTTCATGATTATTGAGGGGGGCTGGTCGACGTGGAGTGACGTCACGCACGTTACACACTGACATTCTTGGGTAAATATATTAGTAAATAAAGCCGTTTGGATATCCACAGCTAGATTAAGGCCTCCCTCCCCGTGCCCTCATTGTCATAGGGATTGCATGACTATACTTCGCCACGCTGGTTAGTGAAGGGGGTGGGAAGGGGCCAGACAGCATTGGATGTCACTCGTCACTGATCAGTTTTTGCTGGGAATCAAACTCAGGGCGCCAGGTTCAGAACACCACTGTGCCTCGACTCACCCTCAAATAAAATTTGTGCTCACCAAGTACGTACTTTGGTTACTTGATGAACAAATAAAAAAACGAAAGAATAAATTCGTGGGAAATGATATGGAATAAATAATAATTAAGCATAGAAACCAAGCATAATCGAGATTTAACAAATCAGTAACTTTATTTACACACACACATTGCCAAAGTGTTATTAAAAGTTTAGGAAAACAAATTCAACAGTAACTTACACGATTTCTGCCACATTGGTACACCTCTCTCATCTACATTTGTCACAACAGTATAGTCCTGATGTGGCACATTAGAAAGTCCTTATATGTTGTGCAGTACATCAATGCACGTGTGTACACCAGCATGTGATGACTGAGTTGGGCCTGTGGGGGGGCTGGCAGGGTTATTGACTAACCGGACGTGTACACCAATCACGTGGTTAATGGCAACTCGGTGGAAGATTGCTGTGTGACACACGTGCTGCTGCATTTTACAGATTGACCACAATAAATGTGTTTGCCCTCGATTTGGAGCACCTGCCCACGTCCTTCATTTCGAGTGTGCACCACTGAGATCTCATTCCATTCAGGTGTTTATTATAAAACCAAGAAATGCTGAGTCCGACAACTGACAAAGCACATCTGCTGCACATTCGTCAAAATACACAATAAAAATCGTCTCCGGCTTATTGCATTCGGTCGCGAAAACATTTCTGTAATCGAGAGCATTTCAGTAGTCCCCAAACACGAGGGTGAGAAAGTCTGCCGATTGCTTTCTATTCAGCACTTGCGAGGCACCCAATAACCACCAGGACTGATAATGAGACTCCACTCAAAAATGTGTTGTTTGGGGTGTATAGTGCGTTGTGTGGGGTGTACAGTGTGTTGTTTGGGGTGTATAGTGCGTTGTGTGGGGTGTATAGTGTGTTGTTTGGAGTGTATAGTGTGTTGTTTGGGGTGTATAGTGTGTTGTTTGGGGTGTATAGTGTGTTGTTTGGGGTGTATAGTGTGTTGTTTGGGGTGTATAGTGTGTTGTTTGTGGTGTATAATGTGTTGTGTGGAGTGTATAGTGTGTTGTTTGGGGTGTATAGTGTGTTGTGTGGGGTGTACAGTGTGTTGTTTGGGGTGTATAGTGTGTTGTTTGGGGTGTATAGTGTGTTGTTTGGGGTGTATAGTGTGTTGTTTGGGGTGTATAGTGTGTTGTTTGGCAAGATGTCTGAAATTTCACACCCAATGTTGAGCAAAACTTCAGACATTGTGTCGATCAACACACATTACAACCTCAAAACACAACAGAGAGCTCAAGGGTGCAATGTTGCCTGGCCATGAAACGTGAATATGGCGATTACTAAATGAAAGAGCAATACGATTTAATAGCCTGATGTCCATGTGCATGAGCCACGGGCTCAGCTGATCTCAGAGCTCAGCTGTCGGCACTCTTCCTCCATCACGCCGCGGAAGACCTCGAAGCGGTGGTTGAGGTTGTCGTTGGCATGCAGTTTGTAGGCGCTGCCCAAGGCGCCGTCCGGCAATGGCGTGCCGTAGAAAACCCGCTGTACGCGTGAGTGCACCAGCGCCATGGCGCACATGACGCACGGCTCATGCGTCACAAACACGTCCAGGTTCGTGCACAAGTACGGCTCCTCTTCTGACGGAATCTCATGACCTCCGCCCCCCGCGACCTCAGTCGTGCCGCGATCGTCCTCCGTGCCGGCCGATCCCCCTCGACCAGCACCGACGCACACACAATCCGGGAACTCGTCGTACGAGTAGGCGCCGCCGCCTTGGCCGCGAGCCACCAAGTCCACGGCGACCATGACCGCGTGGTGCAACGGCCGCTCAGGCGAGCAGCAATCGTGGGCCACGGCCACCACCTCGCCCGTGCGGGAGTCCGCCACGGCGGCCCCGACGGGCCGCGTGCCACGCGCCAGCCCGGCCCTGGCAGCCTGCAGCGCGCGGCCCATGTGCGCTTCCATCCGCCGCTTGTCGGCGTCGTTGAATGGTTCGCCGCTCAGCAGCAGCGACAGCCGCTTGTGCTCGTGGAACGAGCACGGCCAGCAGCGAGAGGCGAACTCGAACTGCGGCCGCGTCAGTGGGGGGCTTTGAGGCACCAGCACACCGAACGGCAGGCCCAGCGCTGCGTACTCGGCGAAGCTGCCGTCGTCGGGGATTACGTCGGCCAGGCGGACCGGCTGCTTGTGGTTGGCCGGCAGGTCGCGCGTCAGGCACAGCAGGATCTCCAGGGCGTGCGCCTTGGATGCGTCGAGTGTGCCGCGCACCCTCTTCAGGTGCTGCAGACCCTCGAGCGGGTAGAGGCGGCACATGGCGGCGATGAGCCGCGCGGTGGCGCGCTTGTCCAGGATGGGGGCGGCGTACGCGGGCTGTGTAGGCACCTCGTTCCTGACGAGGTGGTCGACGAGCACGGGGACGGCGTGCCACTTCGCTGCACCCTCCTCATCCGTCCTCTGCTTCTTCGGTTCTGGCTCCATTTACATCTGCGGATGAGCGTCGTAGCCGGTCGCTAGAAGCTGCTCTACCTCACTTTTCTGAGAACGAGACCATGCGTGTGCGTGACAACAATGTGTAATTATATTGGGGCAAGCTGGAACCAACTCCGCATCCTGTAGATTAGGGGGGGTTGGGGGCCGTCCATAAATGACGTCACACACCTGGGGGGAGGGGTCAGACATTTGTGACAATGTGTGACGAGGGGGGGGGGGGGTCAAAAATCGTCCAAAATTGCGTGACGTCATTTATGAAAGGCCCCTTTCCTAAACTATTCATAATAAAGGTTTGTGTTGAGTTAGACTGCGTAAATATAAATGTCGTTAACCCACCACCCACCCGACAGGAAATTAGTAAGGTTTGTCACGTGAGTAAACCGTGCCAATTAGCTACTACTTCAAGCACACCGGTGCGATGGACAGTAACCCCACAACATTTTCAATTTGAGTTCGACGTTTCGCTGGTGATTACAACCAACTATAAATATTAATATAACCTCCTAGCAATAACCCCCCCCCCCCCCCCCCAGCCATTGCCACAAGCACGGTGACACAAATCTTGGTCACAGGATGTTTTCTTCTGTTACCCAAAATAAAAGGGTAAAACATTCCTGCGGAGGGAGCTGGTAGGAACGTTGGGTTGCTCGGTCAATGGCCAGGGTCAACGGCGGCGTGGTGTATTCCGCAAATATGCCTGACTGTGAGGGCGGGCACAAGCCGGCGTGAGTAGGTTAAACGTTGAGTTTTATAAGGGCACCACGGGGTGACCAGCCCCTCCCCACCCAGCCCCACCCCTCCTACCCCCCACCCAGCCCCTCCCCTCCCAGCCCCTCCCCACTCTCTCCACCCAGCCCCACCCCTTCCATTTTTGGATGCACGACGGACGGACACAATAATCCCCTGTGGGCTGGTGGAACCAGGTGGTTCCTACCAGTATAATGGTCGCACACAACTCATCAAGACCAAAGGTCCGTCGTTCCTTCCGGTCAAAAACGAGGTTCTAACATGGCCCTGAACAATGAAAGTGATTTAAACACAAGTGCGGTGACGGACGATCTGACTCGAAACGAATGCAGTAAAAAATTGATTCTATTATATTTTGGATACAAGGATGCGCGTTTGTTATACACAAAGTACGTGTTTAATACATGGGCTGCAGGTCGTAAGCGTTTTCGTATAGATACTTCTCAAAACACGGTGAGCACCGCAACAATATATAACACACGCACGAGCCTAAACAGCGACGTTAGAGATCCACAGATATGAAGCAGTGAGTGGGCAGGAGTGTTGCCCAGCATAGGACCGTGAGATATGAAGGCGTTCGGGGCGGGGGGGGGGCTTCATCCAGCAGTAGATACAACACAACTAATCATTATTCAGAAAGAGAAGGGGGGCGATTAACCTTAATTGGGCTCCGATCGTGTGCTAGCGACCACTGCTCACCACCGTACAGCACGAAAAGTAACCGCGCGTTACTTACTCTAAAACCATTGCCCCCTAGTACTTGCAGCCGCCGTCTTCTCGGACGGCGAGATGCCTTGTTGACATTGCGGCGTCTCAGTGCTCCACAATCACTGCCGATCTGTTCAGTGCTGCGGGGAATTGGTGCACGCCGCGCTCGCCTCGTCTCCCTTCCACGCGGTCTCGACCCCCTCTCGCCTCGTCTCGAGCGGCGGCTCCGCTGCAGCGCACGTGGCGGCTGGGAAGGGGGAAGGCGTTTGCTTCCGGGGTCGACGAGGACGCTGCTGCTGGTGGTGGTAGTGGTGCTGGCCCATTCATCAGCACGTGGGAGGGCTTTGGGTCATTCATTGATTGCGCGACACGCGGGGAACGATTCGCTGAGTGAATGCGGCATGTTGGCAGTGCGGGGTCTGTAGCATATGTTGTAAAGTGGCCCTAAATAAATAAATTAAAACACTATTTTTTTTTACTTTGGGGTCGTCCATAAATGACGTCACGCACCTAGGGGGGGAGGGGGGTCAGACGTGCGACCAGGGGGGGTTTGAGAAATGTGACGTCCACATAAAAATGCGCAATTTTAAATAAATATAAACACGTTCTACTTAATTAAATAGAATTGTTATAACACTAATTTTGATACTATTTTCATTATTAATTTGATTCTTATTTAAATTTATTAAGGTCACCTTTTATTTTTTGTAGAGATTATATTATGTTAAACTTAAGAGCCGGAAGCCAAACTACGTCACACTTTTTTAGAGAATAATATTTCGTCAGGAAGAGGAAGTGAAAAATAAAATGTTAATGCAGTCATTATATTAAAAACGCTTGATAGTTTCGAATAAGAATTTTAAAAACTTAAGTACTATTATTCCTGTCATATCAATCGACAGAATGTTAAATCACACATTTGTTTATTAAATATTTTTTTTGTTATATCAGTATTACATTTTTATACTATTATAATGTTACGATAACATTTATGATAATATAGAGAGAAAAGTTTTTGGGTACAAAGATATCAAACAGCCATTTTTGAGCATGAAGGGATACTTAATCAGGGAGTACTTAATAAATCGACGTCATTCGGCAAGCACACAATAGCCAAGGCGTCCTCTGATTAATTATTCCTCCATTAAATTTTAGTTCTTTGTTCCCAGAAAATGGCGTCATGCTTATTTTCGCCATTGTCCTACTATGAACCATGAATGATTGAATTTAACCATTTAGGATCTTTAATTTAACAACGGAATTCCCTTGTGGAAATGAAAAAAACTAAACCGCTCACGATTCAGTATATCGTGTGCACTATTTATTATTGTAACCGCAAAAAATACATTGTTTTTTTATTCCATGAAGGAGCATTTTGCTTCTCCATGGGAGAATGGAGAAGCATACATTTGTAAAATTAAAATAATGATTGTTATTAAACATTTGATTCTAATGATACTACCAGAGCTTTGTATTCTATGGAATGAACATGTGATTGTTATAATTGTACTCTCCATTTTTGCTTCGTTATACTACAAAGTTTCAAGTATTTTTTATAGTTATAATTACTTCTAATATTTGATCATTATGAGAGAATTCCAATATAATATTCTGAACATCTGCAGTTTTAGTTAGACGATGAATATTTGCAAGTGAATTTCATGCTAAATTTCAGCTTTCCAACGCCTCCTTTTTAATGCATGTTTTCTCCTACAACATCAGAGTGCAGCGCCACATTAAATACGCACTACAATGACAATAGTTTAAAGTGATTTGAAGCATGTTTTATTTTTAAAATGGAAATACGGTTTTAGGGGGGGGGCGGCAGAGTTTTGTGACGTCATATTTGAGGGGGGTCTGACTTTTTGTGACGCCGTGTGACGAGGAGAGGAGGGGAGGTCAAAAATCGGCCAAATAATACGACAAATCGCTAACCTTAAACACCCAGTCGTTTATGAAAGTGTAAGGCAGTTAAGTACTATAGTCCTAGAGCAAGTGCAGAATCACTGAACCGGAATTGACAGCTTGAAAGCATTTAGCGCGGGGCCCTTGAAAGTGCGGGGCCCGGAACATATGTAGCTACTTTTGCTACTAGGATAATCCGGCACTGCATGTTGGGTTTTTGGAATATATGAATGTTGATTTATTTACACCGAGGTATGGACGATTCATTCATTTAGACCTGGGTATGGTAAGTTCAAGAACAGACACGTGGGTTAGGGTCATTTATTCAAGGACGCGTGATTTATGGACGCGTGTGTATGCCTCTTTCACCAACACGTCGGTATGGATTATTCACTGTGAACGCGTGTTCATGGGTCATTAATTTTCTGACACATGTGCATGGGGCTTTATACACCCCCCACCTGCGTGCGTACGCTTGACGCCCCCCCCCTCCCCGAATCCTATAGAACGGCCGATATTTAATCCACGCAGAAACGATCGAGGATTAATCATATAAACGTGTTTAGCAACCAGATAGTCCACCGCTGGACTAACTAATTTGATGGCCAATGGAGACAAATTATCGATGTTTCACCCCCCCCCCATACACAAGCAAACGCATATGGGTTAACCCCCCTCCATGAGTACGTACTAAATGGATGGCCCCTTACTAGTGGGTGTGGATAATTCGCTGATAAGGGTGCCATTCACAAAAACAAAACGCCGGCACTGGAGTGTCCTCGAAATGACGCGTGCGTTCACTGACACGTGGGTAAAACAGCGGTACGCGTCCCTTGAGTCGATCAATGGAAATCAGTAACACATGAGCGGATGGCGCAGTAATCATGGCAACATGAATCCCGACCGTCTTCAGAGTTCGATACCTGGTCACGGATTTGATTGACGAGAAGTCCCGTGCAGTCGCAGACCGACTTCTACATTTGGGCGGGGGCTGAAGTTCGCTTTGTCCCGCACATTAGGAACCGCGGGTGCATGTAATAAATTTTTTTCACACGAATTGTAAACTACTGAACATAAATTAATAAAGGTGTCCACTTGGGGGGGGAGGGAGGCGTTGCCCTCCCCGTGCCCCCCCCCCCCAAACTCCGCCCCGTGCACAGAGTATATCCGAACCTTACCTATCATCCACACACCCTCTTCACAAACCCACACTCTGGATACAGCAGTCGACTTATATTTTTAACATCGCTGGAGAGTAAACACCAGCCCTGGTTCGCGCTATTTTGCCACCATCTGTATGTCTGTTGAGTGACCGTATTCACTATTTGCACTTAAAGATATCCCTATACTGTATACTCTTTACCTGAACTTGAACCGCTTTTGACTTCCCGCGCACAACTCGTGTCTCACCGCACAAGCACGCAAACCAACATCGTGTCGCCATCTGCTGATCAAAATCTGGTACTGCCCTTTTAATTGCAATCCAAGTAGTTCACACAGCACCCAAGTAACAAAGTCAAGTCAAAAGGATTTTCCTGCATCATCTAGCAAATGAACACTGCTCACGCCCATCTACAACCGCGAGACACTGTTCCTTTGATGGTGGTTATTTGTGAATAACGTTTGAATTCCCACAAAGTGGTACTTGATTTACTCTCACTGCACCTCGACTGGATTTTGAATTTGTAACCTCATAGCACCACCTGACCAGACCCATCCTATTATTATTATCACAACTGTATAAAACAATGCAATTTTGATTCATATGGCATCTGAATTGCAACCGCATATCAAGGTGCTGTACAGAAACAGTGGGCCCATAATTAGAGACACTTATAGAGGGGGAAAAACGAAGGACTTGAGTATCGGCAGGGAGTCAACAGCACGGACGGCTGGGGGAGTTATAGACTGTGGGTGCTGTAGGGGAGAATGAGAAACCTCCCATTAAGTGAAGGTTGACTGGAGGCTTAAACAGAAGGCCTTGATTGCTGAAGTGGACAGGACATCAGGAGGAGTGGCGGCCACATTTTGGAGCAACCATGACATGTATCGTGTCTCAGTGTGGACATGGATAACCGTGTGTCAAAAACAATTCTGCCACTCCTGCACCTCTCGGGCGGCCTCAAATTTGGCTCAGCCGAGACAGGGGTCGCATGCTCCTGCCGCCGAGCGCTGCGGACGCTGGGTGGGCCCGAGGCGCCGCTGACTTGGCGCGGAGAGAAGTGCTCCTCGAGGGCTGCAGGGCCAGCTTGGCCGGCGCTGAGATTGCGCGAGGAGTTCTCCGTTCCGGTGAACCATCGGCCTTGTATCGCGGGCCCACGGCAGTTTTGGCTCGGCCTGGAAATGTCCGTTCATTCATGAAACACAGCTGGATAGCTCAGCATTTACAATATTTAAACTGGGCATGGGGAACCAAGGGTCTTTAGGCTGCACATGGCCCTTCAATTCATATGGTCGACGGACACATAAGGCCTACCACTTCGAAACTTATATTTATCCATCACTTCAAGCATCTCAACCACACCAAATGAGCATTAGAGAGGGAAATATTATAGTTTTAACACACTCGGCCATTTCTGTCACTGCAAAGGGCCTCTGTATACTCAGCTGACATTTTAGTTTTCCGGGTATTATTGGAAAATGCTGAGGTGCGTGTTAACGTGCGGCTAAGCCCAAGGTATTTCAAAGTCCTCTTCAGCAGTAAGGAAAGGTTTCCCACCGCTGGTTTAGTCCATGAATGAATGTTAACTAAAGAAAACCAAGAACTTAATACAATCACAACATTTCAGAATCAATTGAAGGAGAGACAAAGCAGCATAATACCTTTATGATTGTCGGGGATGACTTTGGGGCCACCGTATATCTCCAAGCTGTTAAAACACACCGAGGCATGATCTGTGTGTGGTAGTCACAGCTCAACAGCACACATGGAATCATCGCCATACTAAACATAACTCGTAATTCGTCATTTTTACAAGGGACCTCGGGTTTCGTGATGTAAGCGCTATCTAAGCGTCGTCCTTTTGTAGCACACAACGTTGGTGGGTTTCTGAAGCATTGTGTACAAAATATTACACGTGATTTTAAAAAAAGCAAAATTATTTACGGCCTTTTCTCAATACAACGCTGGAGAAATTGTTCTCCATGCCTGCCTTGATGATGGTCATGGGGGTTGTTTGACCATACTTCACCATGCTGGTCAGTGCTGGATGAAGGCCGGATATCCAGAAAGGGTTCAATTATCACTCGCACATTTAACACTCACATTTACTTTTGGTGGAGTGGTAAGTGCAGTTGTTAGCGCATTGTGCTAACCACTCCGAACGATATCTAAATTGGTCAGGGACCCCCCCCCCCCATGTAAACCCACAACGACCAACATGGTGAAGTATAGTCAACAATCCCCATGACTAACACAGCATAGGGAGGCCTTCATCCAGCAGTGGAATGAGAGAGGGCTCTACACAAAAGACAGACCCCCCGTGTAGCCTTCAAAGACTGTTGGGGCAAGTGCTATTAGCGAGCACCTAAGAAGGCCGGCACGGCACACGAGGGGGTAAGTGGCCAGCAGCACGCCCGGCCACCTTTGTCTTCCCCATTGACGATGTTTACACATCGCACCAGATACTCATTTGAGGGTGAGTCGACTTAGGGGAGGCCCAGGACTGGTTCAGATTATCGTCACTGATGTTGGCCGTGAGCGGGAATCGAATTCAGGTCGCCGGGTTTGTATAACAGCACGCTAACCGCGACACTACCACACACACACATGCACGCGTACATTGACTTGCAACATTTGGCACTCGCAGCTGGCAGTGAGATGAACAACCAGGAGGGAGGAGAAGGAGGAGGGCTGCTCACCTGAGCGCCGGCAGGCCGATGAGCTGTTGCCGCTCGAAGTCAGCCATGAAGTCTGGGCTGATGCGTGCATCGGGGCCCAGGCTGGACATGAGCTGCTTGTAGAGGCCGGGCTGGCAGCGGCAGGAGACCAGTAGCATGCGGTGAGCCTCGCGGTTGAAGCTCAGGTAGCCCAATGCCACCGCCGCTGCCTCACGAACCTGGGCAAGGACAAGTTGGGGTGTGCGGGCTCGCCTCAGATGTGGCTTAGGTGTGGCTCAGGTGTGACCTTCTAACATCTGTAGGCAACGCTGGGTATGCACCACTGAATAATGTTTAGACTTTGTTATTAATTCGTTGGTGACCTTCATAACAGGCTGTAACGATTTTCCCTCCTTGTGAATATTTTGCTTATATTTGCTGCATTGATAATCCTTGAACTACTTTAGGTCTCTAAATTATAAGCAGAATGACAAACATCTCATTATATATGGTACCCTTTATGAACTCGCCCAAGACCCAATTTATTCCCCTCTCCACTCGGCGCACCGAGCTCATCGCTCCCCTTTCTTCTTCCCCTTCCCCTGTCCTCTTTGCTGTCTCCCCCCCCCCCCGTCCACCTCCCTTCTTCTCCCCCTCCCCTTGCTTGGCCTCTTCCCTTATGTCTATAAATCACGACCGGGGATTGCAGAGAAACATGCGGTTCGCAAATCCTTTGACTCACCATAATCCGCCTTTTTGTTTGCTTCTTTGGTATTTGTCACTGCAAAGCCTAATTTATATACGCTATATATACATCAATAATCGTCGTATGCAGTTGTTTGCAGCTTGATTGTGGAGCTTTAAGTTAAAGGTTAAAGTGGTTTTCTGCTGAAACAAGCATTTAGGCAGTGCCCATCTCCCTTCTCCTGTTCATAGCCCTCAGCCAGTGGTGCAAATTCCACATTCATATGGCAGGGACGAGGGTATCTATTAATACAACCACCACAAAGTGGTACTTGTTTTATCAACCTCAGAGGGATGATGGGCTGAGTCAACCATCCAACCAGGATTTCATCGTGCAACCATCGCTTGACCGCTGAGCCATGTGCCCGGCTCGAAATGGCCACTTGCGTGCCGTGTGCTGATGCGCACCGTGTCGGTGGAGGAGAAGAGGTGTTCGGTGAGCATCTCCATGGCCCCCAGAGTCACCATGGCAATGGGAAGGCCGGCCCTCGTGTGTGCCAGACTGGCAAGGAGCTCACCTGCACACACGCACGCACGCATGCATGCCGCATCATTACACAATGACCTCATAAATCAGGTGGCCACACCGCTACGAGCACTCATGCACCAGATACTATTACTATTGTAACGGGTTCCGGAGACACTTGTAGATGTAACTTCTTTATTACAATACAACACTCCAACAGTCCTGATACTCTGTTACAGCCTAGGTACACAGCCTAGATACACAGCCTAGATACTCTAGATACTCTACTCTGGCTACGCTCGCCCTCACAAGGTCGTAGAGTCGGGAGTTCCAGAGTCCCAGCGCTGGCTCTCACAGCATCCCAGGGTCTTCAGATGGCTGGTCGTGGGTCTTGGGTCTTGAGTTACAACTGGGCCCCGATCGTCCAGGGAGCTCTCCTTTTATGCCTGGTCCGACGAGGGGTGGGGCCGTGTGCGCCACCAGACATCCCACAGAGCACACACAGCCCCCCCCCCCCCGTTGGCGGCGCCAAAAAGGCTTAAGCGCCTGGGAACCCAACGCCTGGCGCCCAAAGGCTTAAAAGCGTCTGGACCCCCTGGAAACCCAGTGCCTGGCGCCCAGAGGCTTACGCGTCTGGACCCACCTGGGAACCCAGAGCCTACAGCAGCCCCTCCCTTCTTATGTCACTACACTATTACCTCTTTTCATCTGAATAAGCGCCACGTAGCAACATTGCCCCCGTCTGTAAAACTTATGTGGAGTACATTGCACTGCAAGATTGCCGTAAATGTTAAATGCACTAATGTATTATTGACTGAAGAGAGCATCGAGCGCCACGTGTAGATTTATGGGCGTGGGGTGGTGCGCGTATCTCACTGGCCAAGACGATGGAATCCAGGTTGTTGGAGCTGAGGAGTCCCACCAGCACGGAGAGGCCCTGCGCCGTGAGCGAGACTTGTTCACCATCCCGGAATACTCCGGACAGCACCACCATCTGCTTGCGCGCAGACAGCAGCCGCCGTGAACGCCACGCCGAGCGACTGCCACGGTCGCGTTTCTCCAACAGCGCAGCCTGGCCCCCGCTCATAGACGGTGCACCGGTTATCACACCATGCCACGGTCATCGCTAAGTCGTCCATGCAGGAACGATAATCAGTGGTGATGGTGGTTTGTGGCTCAACATTCAGTAAGTCAACTGGGTTGTACAATTTTAGATGTGTGCAGATTATTTAATGTATTTTTTTGCAAGCAAAGGTGGTGATGTTAGTGGTGATGAAACTGATGATGCACTTGTAATGGGCTTCACCAGACTGCTGCTCCTAGCAAACTGCATGGGCTGCTTGCGCCCGTCTAGTGGAGAAAGTCCTGATGATGAAGCCACCTTCACAGGTGACCAGGGCACACTTGCTGACGGCTACACGCACAACTCCTGAACCACATCATTCTTTATCACAATTCACGTTAAGTCTTAGAGCAGTGAGAAAAAGTATACGGATGAATGTTGCAGTTCTTTCGCACCGTACGTAGCCAACCGTGCTAATCACCGCATCTGAAAGCGCGCGATGCAGTGATTGTTTTTGATAGATAACCAAAAGGTGCTGAGAGGATGACCAGAGTTTCACGTGATGGTTTATGCTCCTTGACGAGATCAGCAAGGTATTGTGGTTAATTTGTGGCAAGCCAAATTGCGGAGTGAAGAGTGCATGGGCATCGAGCCGCCCGTCGTCGCGTCGGGCACGCGACCACGGGCCGGGCTCGGCGCCGGGGCAGGACGACGTACCTGGAAGGCGGCTTGCGCCTGCTCGTACTCGTTCTCCGACTCTAGGAAGGGCAGGAGGTCGCTGACGGCTATGCGCCCCGCTTGCGCCAAGGTTGCCTGCTGCTCCCGATTGTTGTAGGCGAAGACGGCGAGGGCGTAGCCCGCACGCAGCCGGACCGCCTGGGTGAGCGGAATGATCGGGGACTGTCGTCAACAACCCCTCCTCAACCCACCACATTGCCCCCCCCCCCCACTACTGGGTGTGCGGGACAATACAGGTAAAGGTGCAGCCCTGCAATGTTTTGCTCACGCCACTGCTGGCAGAAGGGCCACCACTGGAGAAAGCTCTAGCGAGCCTCTCTAGAGTATTTGAATTCCTCTTGCACACTGGCCAGGTCGTACTGCACATCGCTTTTTCACTTTTAATTTGGAATTCATTATTTCAAACACCATATGTAAAACAATTAAGTTGATTCATTACTGTATTTAGCAAAGGTCCGTTGCTTTTATACCAACACCTTTTCAGCAAATCAGCATGTGAAACAGTCTCAAATTAAAACATTTAGTGAAAACTCTCTTTGCTTAAAACGGACAAAGGAAAACCACCACAAGCATTGATTTAGCGATTCCCGCGCATGTTCTGTGACTTGGCGGTTCAGCTAACAACACGTGTGTGTATCTCATGAATTCTGTACAGTACACGCAGATAACCCACCCAGTGTGCGGCCCGAGAACCTCATTAATGCACTCAGTATTGCGAGTGCACACTCATTGGATTATTCAGCCGGCCCTGACATCAAAACACTGAATTCATCACATGATCAATAAATATAGGAATTTACTCTTTCCTTTGCCTAACACTGCCTCTATCTACACATTAAATGTGCACACTGTGTATATCCTTATGAGATGTCTACGCACTTGGATGCTATATAAATCCCAACTGTAATACAATTGTGTAAATCAACTGTATCTGTTGGAGCGCTTATGTTCTTTTGAGTTTGTGTAGTTAATTTTTTTAAGCTTTGGCCGCCCATCGAGCACGACCCCTGCTCACCCTGTCCGGATGCTCCAGGAGCTCCAGGACCACGTCGTAGTTGAAGCCATCCTTCTCCATCATCTTCTCCTGGACCTCGTGGTTCTTCAGCAGGACATAGGCCAGCGTGCACGCCGCCTCCACCTGCACGCCACCACCAGCGGCACGCACGCACGCGCATCCAGCACATCCAGCCACCGAGTGCAACTACCCAACACAATTGTGGCTCAGACAGCTACCCAGCCATCCAGAACAACCGCCCATCCCAGCCACACCACTCAGCCAGCCATTCAGCCACTCAATTACCAAACCACCCAGCCACCCAATTATCAAATTACCCAACCAGCCACCGCTCAATCAGCCACTCAAATGACCCAGCCACCCAGTGTAACCTCTCACCCAGCCACTTCACTCGCTATTCAGCTACTTAGCCACCAAATGCAACCAGCTGCCTCAGTCTGCAAATAAGAAACCCAGTCATCCACCTAACAACCCAGCCACCTAGCCACCCTTATATTCTACTATGATGAAAAAGTGTAATGTACTATTTGGGTAGTTGCATTTGAAGTGCCTGAATAGTGCAGAGGTAGGAACAGTGGACGTGCAGGGGGGTTTTGTGGTGTGCTGAATGATGGTGGTGGTTTGTCGAGTGTGGTGAGTGAGTGAGACTGGTGTGCGCGAGGCATCAATGTGATGGTGCGAGTAAGGTGGGGCTCTGGTGATGCGGCGCTTGCCTTGATGTTGGGGTTGGCGTGAGTTGACAGGAGCCGCAGCAGCTCGGGAATGGCCTGCTCCTCCTCCACCTTGTTCTGGCTGAGACGTGTGTTCACATGGGCCACACCTGCCGGCACCGCGCGACCACTCCGTGAGTACCCACCGTGCCCTCACCACTCCGGGTCGATTCGCTAAATTAATTACTGGGCCACGTTTTACCCAAAAAATATATATCTATAATCTTCCTCAGTGCTATTCCAAATTGTCATGAGGTGGTGCCCCTACATCACCGCGGTGCTTCCTCGTGGCCACACTTGCTCACCCACGCAGAGCGCCCCGAGCGCGGAGACGGTAGCTAGCAGCGTCCGCTCGGTGGTGCGCGGGGTTCGCAGCAGCCGCACCAGCGGGGCGACGCCGTCCTCACGGCAGATCTGCTCCTGGTGGGCGCGCCCCTCCCGAGCCATCGCTGCCATCGCGTGGCAACCTGCGTGCGACAGTGGAGATGCGTAGATGTGTGTACCACAGCGTAGGTTGCGTGCTTGTGCGTGCGCGACCAATGAGATGTGCGATTGGGAGGATGTCCAGGGAGCCGTTGGTGCCGTGGTGTCGGCACGTGCGACGTGTGGGGCTGTGTGCGGTGTCGTGAGCTGCGGTGACCAAGTCGACGCGCACCGACAAACTGCAGCTTGTCGGAGGATGCGAGCAGCATGTCGATGATGAGACGCAGGCCAACCTGCAGCACCACGGTCGCTTGCTGGTGCTGGGTTCCGCCCGCCAGCGCCCACAGCGCCAACGCCCCATGCTCCCGCACCTCCAGCTGGAACACCTGGGCGAGCCACATGCAACAAGCGCCGTTAAACAACGCCAGCGCTGCCTCCTTGTCTGCGGGCAACGTGTGGGCATCGCCACCAGCGAAGCCGCACGAGGGCTGCCCGATGTTTGATTGTTCGACCCTTTGCTATTTTATCAATCATTATCGCCCAGGTCTCCATTGAAAATGAGACTCCTCGACCCGAGTTATTATCCACCCTAAATAAAGACTACCAATCAATCAATAGATCAAAATATTTTTTGACACTCAATCCAGCAGTGGATTGATCACAGCTGATGATGATGACACTGGTGGAGCCAGTGGCGGGGGGTGGGGTGGCACGTGCCCCCCAATGATCCGATCGAAATCCCTAATTTCATTCAGATAATTGGGGTTTATTAATAATAAATCGGCATTTTGCGACCCCCACTGCCACTGTGTAGCATATTATTACGTGCCAAGGACTGTATGAGATGATAGGACAATAGTCTGAGTCCATAATTGGCAATAAGTAATGGCAAAGCAGTTATAAGTGACTCGCAGTTGCGTATACAGTACACTACTTCCCTGAAGGCAAACACCTTCAGCGAGCGCGATGCCGATCACACACGGTTCGAATTCGACCCTCGATCGATGGCTGCGCCATAGCCGCACACGCGTCGAATAAAAAACAAGAGACAAGTCCTTACTTACTAACAACTCCTATCATTTTTCATTGTTGGAGGGGTTGCCCCCCCTACCTGAAAATCCTGGCTCCGCCATTGGATAATAATGTTCAATCAGTCAACCGGTCACAAATTTAGACAAAAGTTAAACATTTGTAAGTGCAGTGCTCGATGTATATGTTTTTTTATTTTTTTCCGAGAATTAAAAATCGGAATTCACCTTGAGAAGACGCAGCAGGGGTTGGGTGACGGACAGTGCCAAGAAGTCACGCTGGATGCCGGGGTTGCCATCGCACAGCGCCTGGACCGCCACCGCCGCTCTCACCTGCTCCTCCGTGCGCCGGCTACACACGAGCTGCGCCAGCGCCGCCAGCGCGCCCCCGGCCGCCGCCGCTGCCTGGTTCCCTTCATGGGCCCTCGTGACGGTCGCCAGGGCCAGCGCTGCAGCGGCCTGCAGGCTGTCTACGGACGGCAGCAGAGCAGCGGCCACGGGAGAGTTAAGGTGGTGCAGGGGTATCCTGGGGCAGAAGCGTCGGTATAGAATAGCTGACTAGAAGACAACTGCGCAGGTGTTTTTCCGGGTTGCGCTGCGTGCTGTTTGGCGTGATGTCCGACGTTTTGTTCCACATGTCAAGAGCTTCTTCAGAAATTGGTTTGAGAACTGAATTGAGTTCCTGACGGAGTTCCCAGCACATGGAGCAAAATGTTAGACACAAATCTGAACAACACTTTGCCTTGTCTGTATTTTGACTCTTCACACAACCTAATTATTTTTTTTCCTTTGATATACATGAACCTACTTGAGTATTAATTATGTTTTAAATTGTGAATTACTTGAATTATGTGTTCAATTTCATATTAAAACAGAAAGTGCCTTCATGATGAAAACATGCTTCCTGGTGTGAGGTCGTATCTACTGTTTCTTGCAATGCTTTAATCCACCATCGGTTACTCTTCAACTACAAAAGCACCATGACAAATTGTTCTTGGCCTGCTCTTGGGCACAATGTGGTGCACTGCTCGCTGGAGATTCCCAAACAGAACGTCCTTCGCCTCGCTACGTGACGCTGACTGCGCAATCCCACGGGTGTGGGGGGTGGAGGCCCACACCTGAGTTGAGTCCGAGGAACTCGACGAGAGGACCAATGCCACCCTCGTGCACCACGGCCACCTGGCATGACGGGTCGCCATCGCACATGACGCGCACGGTGTCCACGACGTTCACGAGCACGCCCTCGAGGCTGCATCGCTGGGTCAGCCGCACCAGTGCCGCGATCCCTTTCTGCCCAGGCACACACAAAGACAAAGATTCCCCGTATAGCCTTAACAGACTGTTGAGGCAAGTGCTGTTAGCGAGAAGCTATGAAGGCCGGCATGGCACACAAGGGGGTGGGTGGCCGACACCACACCCCACCGCCTTTGTCTTCTTAGTGGCGATGTTTATATTTTGTGGCTGAGTCGACCTAGGGCAGGCGGAGGACCGATTTAGATAATCGTCACTGGTGTTGGCCGTGAGTGGGAATCAAACTCAGGTCGCCAGGTTCGTAGCGCAAAGCGCTAACCACACACACGCGTACGCACTTGAAAAGCACGAACATTGTAAAAGCAATGTTGTGCGATGCAAGTTTTAAAGAAAATTTGTATTACAAAAGGCCAAATCAGACTTTCAAATACAACACACCTTGATGTTATCCAATAACCCCGTGGTAGCGAGATGTTATCTCACCTGTATATTTGAATTTGCCATCATGTGGATTTTTCTCCGGTTTTGCACATTTTGTAACGTGCATTTAGATTATTTGGCGCTGCTATAAATCCCGCATATGTTAAGCCACTTTGATGAGCTATCATGTGTGGCCAGATCACCTCTGAAAAAGAGCTAATAGCTCAGTGAGCTTTACCTCATCAATGCACCTCCGATGAGCACGTTTGGCTACGTACGGTGAAAAAGGAGTTCAACATACATGCAATTGTGGCACATTCCTGGCACCACCTCTGCCACCACCCGGCTGCCATCCTCACCTCCCGGGCGATGGCGTCGCGGTGGCCCAGGGCGGCCGCGTCGCCCAGCACGACGGCGCAGCGCGACTGCAGCTCCCCACGCGCCGTCGAGCCCAGCAGCCGCACCAGCACGGGGATGGCGCCGGCCGTCACGGCCGCATTGCATGCCTCCTCGTGGTCGGACACGTTGCAGATGACCGACGCCGCCAGGCACGACACCGTCTCGCTCTCACTGTCCAGCAGCCGCACCAGCTCCGGCATACCACCTGGCGCGACGAGCCGCCGGAGAGAAATGCACCCACCAGGCAATGCGTTGTTTCGTCAATTTTTTGTTCGTTGACATGTCGAATGCTACGCTGGCCAAGGTAATTATTATGTTATTGTTATTACGCTCGTTTACCCAGGAAAGCCTCACTGAGTCTCATTGAAAGACAGCCTCTTAGCTCAATGGACCTTGCTCGATTCTATTTTTCACAAACTGACCTTAGATTCGATCTCTTGGCGCAACAATGTGCAAGTTTAATCGTTTTCTGTTATGATGGGTTATTATTGTAATTTCTAGATATGAATGGGGAAGTTTATTACATCCCCCCACCTATGTCCAACCAGCAGTATAAGTTGGTATCTCACAGTTTGCAAATCTGCACCTCACGTGGGATAAAGTATGGGTACCCCCACCTATTGCAAGATGTCTGACCAGTATGGACGAGGTCGACCAAATACCGTCTACAGCAGCTCTCTGGCACTCCACCTAGTGGAGGAAATTCCACCAGCAGTGGCGCTAGCGAGCAATAGCACGACACACCTGCTGCCAGCAGGTGTCTCCAGTTGTCCGTCCTATGCTCGTATCTGTCCCGCGAGACACACAGCACCTCCAGGCACCGTGCAGTCATCTCAACCTTCTCGATATTTTCATCGCCCAACATCCCTTGGGGCACAGAAGCAGGGTCATACTCTTACATACGATGGCGGTTTCATGCGTCAAGAGGCTCTTAATAATAATACAGTAATTCACAGCCAGTGCTATTTTAGTGGGGTGACACTGCTGCTATTCACGAGTAATATATTTTTGTCTCCAAACTTTAAGTTGTTTGTCCTCTAACGGGTGTCAAGAGAAAGTGAGATTTGCCAAAGAATGAAACTGCAATATGATGACAACTGTCTGATTCATCACCACGTTCACAAATGGTTGGCATGGCAGCGTCTGTGTTCTCGTGCATGCATGTCCGTGTGTGCCGACCTCTCTGCTCCTGTGTATCCGGCGTCTGCGTGCGTGTACTCTGGCGTCTGCGTGCCGCGTGCGTTCTGGCGTCTGCGTGCGTGTACTCTGGCGTCTGCGTGCGTGTGTTCTGGCGTCTGCGTGCGTGTACTCTGGCGTCTGCGTGCGTGTACTCTGGCGTCTGCGTGCCGCGTGCGTTCTGGCGTATGCGTGCGTGTACTCTGGCATCTGCGTGCGTGTGTTCTGGCGTCTGCGTGCGTGTACTCTGGCGTCTGCGTGCGTGCGTTTTGGCGTCTGCGTGCCGCGTGCACTGTTACCGACGAGCAGGGCCCACACCGGCAGCTCGGGCAGCTCAAGTCGAGCCAGGTGCTGCAGCACGTCCGTGTGCAGGCCGGCGACGGCCACGTGTGCCGCCGTTTTCCCGCAGTCATCGACACCCGTGGCCTCCGCGCCCAGCGCGAGGAGGCAGCGCAGGGTGTCCAGTGAGCCATGCGCCGCTGCCACCAGCACCGGCGTCGATCGGGGTCTGTTGGCCGCAGTGATGCCGTGAAAGAAAGAGTGGCACCCTCTCAACACTGATGTTAACCATGACCAGGTCGACGGGTTCATATTGCAGTTTGCCAACTACTATACCATGCTCCACTCTGTTCGAATGTTAAACTTGATCTACTAACCCTTTACTCATCACAAATGAAACACGATCAAAACCCAATGAAGGACACTTCTGCTAGGCCGATGCAGTGGCACATTTACAGAGTTTAAACGGAGGCCAAACTTGCAAGTGCACAAGCAGACTCACGGGGTGGTGGCACGCGCCGTGAGCAGCGCGGGGTCGCGGTGGTGGAGCGCGCGGATCACCGGCTCGTGGTCATGTGCTGCCGCAAAGTGTGCCGCGGTCCAGCCGTGCCCCTCCGCCAGCGTCGGGTCGACACGCAGCGCAAGCAGGCAGCCCAATGCCTCCAGCGAGCCGTGCTGTGCCGCCAGATGGATGGGAGCGGGACCTGATGGGTAGAGGTATCGAAGGACATGACAGGACGGAACAAGGTAAACGTTTTGATTTATTACGCGGCCTCTCGACCAGGGAAGCCCACAGTGCCACAGCGGTCACCAATCTCAATCCAGGCAGAGTTCGTGGGAGAGTGCTGCCCACCCCCCCTAATATGCGGACCAGAGGTAGCTCTGAGGTATCCGCTTCTGGGGCCGTTCTCTAAGCTTTAGCACTTCTCTTTGAGGGATTTTAATGGATGCCGATATCCCAATCAAGATAAATTCAGAACAAAAAGACAAAACTAAAAACTCTGAACCTATAAACTAAACCCAACTTTGCCACAAACAACCATACTGTACTTCCCCCTTTTTCGTTCGCGGCAATCAAAGCGGGGCATCGCGTCCCCATGGGTAGACCCTCGGCCAGGCGTTAAACGCTCGTGCTGTCCTCCGGCCGTGGCGGTGTGCGTTGTGCCAACCGTTGAGGCGTGGGTCGGGCCCCTCGGAGCGGCTCGGTGCTTGCAGGTCGGCGCCGGCGTTGGCGAGCAGGCTGAGCATCGGCGGGCGGTTGTGCGTGGCGGCGTGGTGCACCAGCGCGAGGCCCCGCTCGTCCAGCGTGCCCAGCCGGGACGCGACCTCCCGGCGGCTCAGAGACAGGAAGGCCGCCACCAGGCCACCTTGGGTTGCCGCCCGGAGGCCCACCGGCACGCTCTGTACATATGCAAGGCAACACGCAGGGCAGCGCATCGGTGAGACGAACAGAAAGTGGCGGCCGAACCGTTGCGGTGCCCGAGATTGGTGGGTTGATGAAATTACTGGTTTTGCCATGGATATACTTGAAAATTGCAGTGCAGAAATGAAAAAAAGTTAAAGGACAATGCACATAAGTGTGGATTGATTCAAATGTAATAGTAATTGCTCTTACTTATGTGCAATTTTTGTTTTACAAGGAATTTTTCTTTCGAAAATTTGATCACGCTCTATATACAGTGGTGCAGATTCTGGTCGTCATACGCCCTGGTGCTAGGAATCAAATGGGGGACCCCTGGTCCAATTACCAGAGGTGTGGACTCGAGTCATGTGACTTGGACTCGAGTCAGACTCGAGTCATGAATTTGATGACTTCAGACTCGACTTGGACTTGCATAACAATGACTTTGTCCCACCTCTGCCAATTACCCCCTATCTTCATAGCCCGTCTCATGGATACGTCCGGCAGTGGGCCCTGGTGCAGTTGCACCACCTGCACATTCAATGAACATGCCACTGCCTTACGTGCATGTATGTTGAACTTATTTCTCGCACCGTACGTAGCCACTTGTGCAATGTCTATTTCCTGGGTCCTAGTTTAAGTGCTACACCAATGCAATTCTATTTTCGTTGTATCTCCATGTAATGGATATCGCAACACCATTCAATAAAACGTAATCTCCTGCACTTCACCAATCTGCGCATCAGGTTACATATGGCTAAATGAACAATTGTAAAAGCGATTACCCCTAAAAGCAAATGAAACACTATACCCAAAATTCCGAACTTTATACGAGGGATTGTAGTGCATGTGTGTTTGTTCCAGAGGTGGGACAAAGTCATTGTTATGCAAGTCCAAGTCGAGTCTGAAGTCATCAAATTCATGACTCGAGTCTGACTCGAGTCCAAGTCACATGACTCGAGTCCACACCTCAGAGGTGGGACAAAGTCATTGTTATGCAAGTCCAAGTCGAGTCTGAAGTCATCAAATTCATGACTCGAGTCTGACTCGAGTCCAAGTCACATGACTCGAGTCCACACCTCTGGTTTGTTCGTTTGTGGGGAGCAGTTGTGTACATTAGTGTACCGGTCCTGGGCATCACCTAGGTCGACTCAGCCTTAAATTAGTTTCTAGTCTGTTGTTTCTCACCAAGGGGATGAATGTAGCCACGTGTCATACTGGCTACACTGCTCCCTAGTGTGTCATACCGGCCTTAATATTTGGTCGCTAACATAACTTGCCCCAACAGTCTATGCAGGCTATTGGAGGAAAAATCTTTGTCAAGGTGAATGCTGCCACTGGGCTTGTAATGCAGAGGTTGTCAGTTTGATCTCCCGGCATGGCAGTTGAAATAACGTGCAAGTGTTCAAACCGCTTGCCTGTGTTCATAAAGCAATATAAACACGACTATTAAGTCGATCGGCAGGTCGTGTACGGTGGGGTAAAATGTGAGTACATCCGCCTATTCTAAGATGTCTGACCAGCGTGGGAGAGGAGGTCAAATTCAATCTAGAGAGACTCTCAAGAGCCCTCTCTAGTGGAGGCCCTTCCTCCACCAGGGGTGTGAGCAAGCAATTACAGGTCTGCACCTTTATCTTTATATCTGTGCATGTGTGTATGTGTTTGTGTGCGTGCATGCGTGCCTTGTAGCGGATGGCTCTGCGGTATCCAAACCGCTGCTTGAACTGCTCATGAATGATGACGTCGCTGAGCGGGAGGCGGCGCAGGCGGAGCGAGTCGATCAGCTGGCGCAACGCCCCGCACCACCACGGCCGCCCCATGTGTGGAGAGAACGGCTCCAGTGGCACCGAGATCACCTGGTACCTGGGCGCGGCGCGCGAGCACCGCAGGGTCCATCATGCCATGTGGAATTGTTTTGTTGTCTTTTTTCAGGCGACAAGAGCCGAATCGAGTTGAGTTTGTTTAACCAGTGGATAACTCGAGCGGTCAGGATAGGGCACACTGTGGCACCACAAGGGACACTATCCCAAGACAGTTCGTAGCTCATTTCATGACAATTACTGTTACAATAATGAATTAGTGACTTCACAGAGGATTGTCCTATTGAGAAACACGTATTTTCAAGAGAAATGTGAAATTTCCACCACTGGCTTGTGACATCCAAAACAGATGATCACCGCCCACCCCATGCCTATTTTTAAGTATAAACACATTGACTTTGCAAATCCACTGCTTGGTGAAGGCTTCCCCATGACATGTCAGTCATAGATATTGTTTAGCGAGGCCTTCATTCCTGCATTGGATTGAAGATGATGATGAGTATGGTGAGGGTTCAAGGAGAGTATAGATACCACCCACGACTCATGCTAGCCATGGCCAGAATTTCAGTGTGCTAACTACAGTGCCACCACTCCACTGCCCACTCTGACTTTTCGCGAATCAATTGCTGAAGAGATTTTGCCGCTGGGAGCGTGAAGGTGGGGAATGCACAACGGCTCGTGAGCAACAATTCACTTGAGGTGGGAGTGACGACACCATGAAAAAACGATCACTTACGTTTCATCCCCCACGACGATGGTGGGAAAGGGGTGGCTCTCCCTGTAGGGAGCGTCTGGGTCCAGCATCTGGAGGAGATGAGAACTCCCCAAGCGCTGGATCTCCGCATATCGGCCCTGCAGCACCAATCACCACCCGATCACCACCCGACCACTGCTGGATAAAGACCTCCCTAAGCCATCACCAACTCTCTCGTGTTATTGGATTATTGCATCAAAAAATCCGACGAGAATTATCATTTCCAGTTTTTTGTCAACTCACGTTTGTTATTGTTAGGTAATATGGATTAACAGGCACTTATAACCACAACAGGGTGCAAAGGCCATATTAATTTCCTTGGGGTGCGTGATCGTGTAAATATTTTTTATTCATAAATTGGACTAAGTATGACATTGAATGCCGCTCCTCGGGGAGTGTCGTGACATTTGGAATGGTCGATACACTGAGGAATAAGGCATCTTTCCATGCTTTAAATAGCTGCATCATCGCTACAAACCTTTCCCACAGCCTGACATCCTGCCTCTGCCTCTTTTTATACATTTTCCCATGTCAATTTGGATTTAGATAGTGTCTACATGCAGCCGTTTCTCAAGGTGCTGCACAAACACAGTGGGCATTTTTGTTTTGCAAAGAAAGGCAGTTGGTTATAGGCTCAGGAAAAAAGGAAGGCCGAGAGCCTGGACTTGATCACAGACAGGGGATCGACAGCACAGATGGCTGCAGAAGAGAGTTCCAGACTGTGGGGGCAGCAGAAGAGAAAGAGTGACTGACCCCTTCAAGACCTACCTCTTGACTGACCAATTTCATGCTTTCCATGTAACAGTCACAACTGAAAAATATATAGGCTAGCTAATTTGGCTGCCAAGTCTCACACATAGAGGCCGTAGCTACTAGTCACGTGCCATCTACTCCAGTCTGACAGCAGCCCGGAAAATATTCGGTGAGAAACGAAGGCCTGCTCGTACCGCGATATCTGGGTCGACGTTGCCGAGGGGCGGCGTGCTGAGATCGAGCTGCACAGAACCGTGCAGGTGAAAGTAGCTCTGCTTCTCGTACAAGAAGTGGCGGCACGCAAAGTCGGGGCCCAGGACCAGCGGTGGGAACTCCGACTCCGTCTTGAGTTTCTCCTCTGAAGGACAGAGCGCACATCACACAGGATTCCTCATCTCGGCGAAGCTATTTCTGATGATAGTTACGATTCAGACCGGGTGTGTATGCATCTTCATCACTGTTATCGTTTTATCAGGGTTAAAAGAGCGGTAGAATAGGGCGGGGACTGGAGTACAGATGAGTGGGGGAGAGGTAGGAGAGCACGTGGATAGGAGGGTGATATGAGAGCAGAGAGGTAGGAGAGTGCATCGATGGGAGGAGAGTGAGATGAGAGGGGAGGGGTAGGCAGTGGCGAATCCATGGACGATGTTGAAGACGGTGAGAGCGCGATCGTAAAAAAATTATCTGGGATTGACACAGTCCCTAAGTTTCAACTCATGCAGCTGAGCAGCCTGGCAGCGGCACACGACTCCTCTTACCGGTGAGCGGCGGCAGCAATCGACTCAGGTTGGGCACCTTCATCCGCCGCTTGAGCGCCAGCAGGATGGGCGTTAGGCACGCCACGAGGCCTAGCTGATCGAGCAGCTTCCGCGACTCGGCTTTGCGCGGCAAGTGTGCACGCATCAGGCGCCGGTGCGTGGCCAGCCGCCGCTGCAGCCGGCGCCGGATCTGGGGAGGCGGCTCCGCCTGCCCGTCGCTGGGACGGAGGCCGCCGTCCACGTCCCAGCGGGGCTCGCACACAAAAAGGCCATGGTGCTGAGCGACTGAGGCCACCGCCACAACCAGGCCCAGCCATGCACCCTCCGAGTGCTCCGTGAAGAGGAGGCGCTCCTCGGCGCTGTTGATCTCGTACGAGGGGTCAGCCACTCCGTCGTCCTCATAGATCCCGGCCCAGTCCGGGTCTTTGGCCACGTCGATCATCCCTGTGCCGTGCAGGCAAGAAACGAGGTTAAGTGGCCTCTTCTTCGTTACGTGGTGCGCTCACATCGCGTGTTCACCTTCGTAAATGAAAGGGATGGTGTGGAAGTATGAAGTGCCGGTATACATTGACCGAACCCGGAGTTGATGTGGATGGATGAGTCACCTGTTTGAGTCCGTTTCATTGTAATGCAGTTATAATATGAATCCATAATTTTAAATGTTTACGAATGTGAAATTGCTATTTTGTTGAATACAGGTAGTTTTAATATTGGGCAAAAGAGTGATAGTTTCATCATGGAGAAAATGTTGACAGATTGCATTAACGGCAAGCGTAACGTGTTCACCAATCTGCACTGACCAGCGTGGTTAAACATTGTCAACAAGCCCACATTACCGAACCAGCGTAGGAAGGCTTTAACAAAGGGCTGTAAAACTATTGTAGTATTACCATGAGTGTGTAAAGAGAGGACAAGATCGCTTCACAACGTATGTTCTTGTCCTCTCTCCCTGTCTCTATTTTCTCCCCTATCGCCTCCTCAATCCTCGCTGTCAACTGTAAAATTCAAGATCAAGACTTGATCATAGGCAAAGCTGCTGATGCCACCACACCTCACCAGCACCTTCTGGCAAATCCTCAGCTGCTGAACAGTAGACACGCAACCTTCAAGATCTCCCCTAACAGTATCCCACCATGTGGTCATAGATCTTCCACTTGGTCATCGGATTTGTGGAGACCATTCCAATGCCTGTTTCAATAACTGGCCCTTCTTCATCCTGCACCCATATGTTCCCCAGCATAACCTTTGTTCCTAATCATATCTACAACACTTCCCTGCCACATTATCCTTTGGACTCCACATTGTTTATTCTACCTGGCCACAAAATTCCTTGCATCTACAGTATCTCACACCCTAACCCTAACCCAGCCAAATAGAGCCAGTAAAAATGAGTCCTTGTTTCCCTTTTTGGTATTTCGACTCTATCCTAACAGGTGTGGTAGTTACGCACCGGCCGAGGTGAAGTCTTGCAGGATATCCTTATCCTCCTGCGTGCGCCGCATGCTGTCCAGCTCCAGGCCCGCGCGCCAGTACTCCCCAAACCGCACCCGCTTCTCGTGGCCCATGTGCGCCCCGTGCCACAGCGCCTTGAGCGTGTAGTCCACCTCGGCGAGCACCTGACCCACCCTCGTGTGGACGTATGCGGGCGGCAACTGGCACACCGTGCTCCTGTCGTTCGCGGGCTCCATGCTCACGCTGGGTGCCTGGTTGAGGCCGTACAAGCCAAGCGTGAGCTCTCGTACCATCTGGTGGACCTCGCGCGCGTCTAGCGGGGGCGGCCCGTCCTTCCGCAGAGGCCACAGCAGCTGCAGAATCTCGGTGGAGGCACCAATTCCGGTCATCTGGCTGATGATCCCCGCGGGAGCCTCCCTGTTGGGCCTTGTGTCGTCTCCGGCAGGCAGCCACCCGCACGCGACGCCAGCCAGGAGCTCCTGCTGCTCACCGCGACTCAGCCGCTCCACGAAGCTGCTAGCGTCCTGCTGCGCCGCTACCTTGGCCAAATAAGCCGTCTTCTCGTCCTCCTTGTTTGCGATCCGTGAAGCGCTGGCGGTGGCGGCCAAAGTCAGGGGGCGGTTGCCCCCGCCGCGGGTCACGCGGGACGAGGGCCGGCGACGCGGAGCTGGGGCCTCCACCTCCATGGCGACGAGTCGGTCTCACAGGCACGGAGCGCGAAGTATGACGTGGCGGGAGGGACGGACAATGCCACACCATGCGCCGACCAAAACTGCAAAGCAATAATACAAGGTGATCGATTAAGTATCTAAACATGGATCACACTGCATTCATAACTCTAGTTTATAAAGTATCTAAATTGAGGAGTATCTGGGGACATGGAAAATGACAATTACACAAAAAGTACATTAAAAGGTTTATATTTATGCGCAGATCCTTCTAAGTTAACCTACAGTTTTCATTGTAGATAAGCGTAAGAAAATTACAGATCCCTCCAAGTTTGTGGAGCAGCAGTGACAATATCAATCAAGTCCCGTATGAAGTGAACACACAGATGTGCATAGCAGTGTGGGTATTTCCAATATGGTGTTGAACGTTGTGTAATGTGCTGTGAAACATAAATGCCGAATGTAGTTTGTGGCAAAGGAGAATCCCGAACCGGCTGACATTTACAAGTGGGTCCTGCACTGGGATGTTGGGCCAATTTCATGAATTAGTGTTTGGTCAGTTGAAAGAAACCAGAATACCCGGAGAAAACCCTACGCAAATACATATCGGATTCATATTCTTGGTTCTTTAGGTAAAGTTACGTAGAAGGGAAATAATAAAAATAAACAATAAAATAGCTGAATTTTTTTATTTATCTTCACGTCGATGGGAAATAATACAATAAAAAAATAAAACAATTACATTGCTTTATTTATTTTATTTTATTATTTCCTTTCTACGTGACTTTACCGAAAGAACCAAGAATAGGATTCCCTGCAGTCACGAAAGCTTTAAATCGAAACATATCGGATTGATTAAAAAAACTCAAAGATGCACTACCAATCTCGCCGCTGAAGCCAAACAACACTTTGGCATTATCAGTCAACATACTGAATTACTACTATGCGATGTTTTAAACCACGGTATACCCACGGTGTTCATGTCGGTTAAATCAAACGTCTTAACGAGTTGTCAGTTGCACAACAACTGCATGAAGAGCCAAGGCCACTGCCGCTCCACGTTAAATTGCTCAACTTAGTAAATTCACAGCAGCACAGAACTGTCCCTTACTTGCTGCCAGTTTAATGGGATCCACAACAACCCCATTGGGTAATGTCGATGTGCTATATACATTTACACAGTATAATGAACACACACGTCCTATCTGGGTTGGGTATTATCGTGTTAACTGTTTAGAGTACTATTGCCGAATATCCATGCTTAAGCTCTCATGATGAGCGCTTGTAAGAATCCGTTATTCAAATCGTATATTAGTAGTCCACTAGTGGCCGCTACATTTACCAGAGTTGAAAAAATAATCGATTATTGGATGGATTTGCGCGGCCCTGTTTGCAATGTATATGCTATGAATATAATTTTAAAATTAGGCGAATGCAGGACGATGCACTCCAGTGCGAGTTCGAGTCCAGACCACGGTTAGCCTCAGTGTCGTCAAATGATACCTGGCAGGCCCTCTTCCTCCCCTACCTTCACACAGCCGCAGTGACCAGCGTGGTGAAGTATGGTCAAGCAACACCAACCAATGGAGACAGACTCCACGCGTGGACAGTGACACAGACCACCCCCACCCCCCTCTACTATAGCCTTATCAGGCAGGCTCTTTGGAGCAAGTGCTGTGAGCGAGTAGCAATTACAATTATAAAGCTTGGCACGGCACACGCAAGCAAGGGGTGAGTGGCCAGCATCACGCCCGGTCGCCTTTGTCTCCCCAGTGTCGATGTTTACAGAACGCACCGGGTTCTCATTAGAGGCTGAGTCGCCCTTGGAGAAGCCCTGGTTCGGTGCAGATATAATCGTCACTGGTGTTGTCCGCACCGAGTTCAGTAGCGCGCTAACCTCTGCGCCACCGCTCCCCACGATACCCACCAAACCCACGTGCGATAAAACTCAAACCTTTGTAGCGATAAAACTCAAACCTTTGCAGCGATAAAACTCAAACCTTTGTAGCGATAAAACTCAAACCTTTGTACCGTTCCTCCTGTGCCGCCCGTTTGTCGTTGATCGTTACAATTGTCACGAGACAATTGCAAATAGCCGACAAGCAGCCAGGGTACAGAGAGACAAAGAGCGGTGGCACAGTGGTGAGCACACCGGTACGATAGACATCCAAGCCAAATCCTGACACTCCGCTGCCCAAACCATCCACAAAACCTAGGCAGCACTGACCAGCGTGGTGAAGTATGGTCAACCAAACGCTCTGGACCGAGACCTTCATCTAGCAGTGGGTTGACAAAACGACCGCTGCTGTTGCTGGCAATCCAATAGAGGCAACCGCGGTGTCCCTTTAAAGCCAGTGGCTTTGTCATTGCCGGTGCGTTGAGTTGTCCTTACCTCGAATGCCCGGCTCTCTTCTCTGTCCACGCACACACAGAGGGCGGCGTCTCTGTCCACATGGCAACGGCTTTGGCTCGTGCTGTTCCTCCTCCTCCGCCGCCTCCTCCAACCTCGACTTTGACGTCGGCAGGGGGTCAGGGGCAGAGACGTGGAGAGGGAGGCAGCTGGGGGGTGTTGGCAGGTCTGTGTGTGTGTGTCGAGTTGTTTATACCAGGGCGACAGTCGCCCCCACGGGTGTAACACCGCTTATTTATATTTATACCTCCTGGTTGCACCAGCCCACAGGGGATTATTGTGTCCGTCCGTCCGTCGTGCATCCAAAAATGGGAGGGGTGGGGCTTGGTGGAGAGGGGAGAGTGGGGAGGGGCTGGGTGGGGAGGGGCTGGGTGGGGAGGGAAGGGTGGGGAGGGGCTGGGTGGGGAGGGAAGGGTGGGGAGGGGCTGGGTGGGGCTGGGTGGGGAGGGGAGGGTGGGGAGGGGCTGGGTGGGGAGGGTGGGGCTGGGTGGAGAGGGGAGAGTGGGGAGGGGCTGGGTGTGGAGGGGAAGGTGGGGAGGGAGGGGCTGGGTGGGGAGGGGAGGGTGGGGAGGGGCTGGGTGGGGAGGGTGGGGCTGGGTGGAGAGGGAAGAGTGGGAAGGGACTGGATGGGGAGGGAGGGGCTGGGTGGAGAGGGGAAGGTGGGAAGGGGCTGGGTGGGGAGGGTGGGGAGGGGCTGGGTGGGGAGGGTTGGGCTGGGTGGAGAGGGGAGGGTGGGGAGGGTGGGGCTGGGTGGGGAGGGGAGGGTGGGGAGGGGCTGGGTGGGGAGGGTGGGGCTGGGTGGAGAGGGGAGAGTGGGGAGGGACTGGGTGGGGAGGGAGGGGCTGGGTGTGGAAGGGAGGGTGGGGAGGGGCTGGGTGGGGAGGGGAGGGCTGGGTGGGGAGGGGAGGGTGGGGAGGGTCTGGGTGGGGCTGGGTGGGGAGGGGAGGGTGGGGAGGGGCTGGGTGGGGAGGGTGGGGAGGGGCTGGGTGGGGAGGGTGGGGCTGGGTGGAGAGGGGAGAGTGGGGAGGGGCTGGGTGGGAGGGAGGGGCTGGGTGGAGAGGGGCTGGGTGGGGAGGGTGGGGCTGGGTGGGTGGGGAGGGGCTGGGTGGCGAAAGGTGGGGAAGGGCTGGGTGGGGAGGGTGGGGCTGGGTGGGGGAGGGGCGGGGCTGGGAGGGTAGGGAGGGGCTGGGTGGGGAAGGTGGGGAGGGGCTGGGTGGCGAGGGTGGGGCTGGGTGGGGGGTGGGAGGGGTGGGGCTGGGTGGGGAGGGGCTGGTCACCCCGTGGTGCCCTTATAAAACTCAACGTTTAACCTACTCACGCCGGCTTGTGCCCATCCTCACAGTCGGACATATTTGCGGAATACACCACGCCGCCGTTGACCCTGGCCATTGACCGAGCAACCCAACGTTCCTACCAGCTCCCTCCACAGGAATGTGTTTATTCCGCCGCTTCTTTACCCGGGAAGACCTTCCTCAAAACTCTTTTTCAGAAGGTTCCGTGCCAAGTCTTTTTTTTTCCCCCACACAGTAATGAGTGATGATGTTTTTTGTCGAATCCCCTTGGCAGGCATGGTTTTTTTCCAACACTGGAATGTTTGGCAAATACAGTACATTATATATGTTTTTTACCCCAACACCATCGAGATTACCGAAATCGCACTTTTCACAACGCCACAGTAGAAACGACCCGCGGGACACGAGCAGCCACCACCGGGTACACTCGGCACGCCAATAGCGCATCGTGACGTCGAGATGTGAAAAAAATATAGCATTGGTTTAGCCTCCCAAGACGGCAATTTAACCGACGGAAATTCACGAAGGAATGGAATTGTGTCAACGCGCTTGGAATTTGACATCTGTTGTGAATAAATTGTGTATATTCTTGGTTCTTTCGGTAAAGTCACGTAGATGGGAAATAATAAAAATTAAACTATTAAATTCTCACGACGTTTCGATTGCAACACAAGCAATCGTCATCAGGTGTGTGATTGCTTGTGTTGCAATCGAAACGTCGTGATAATTTTATTGCTTTATTTTTATTATTTTATTATTTCCCTTCTACGTGAATTTACCGATAGAACCAAGAATATGAATCTCTGCAGTCACGAAAGCTTTAAATCGAAATTTAAATTGTGTATGTCATAAATGACACTACGGTAGTTATGGGAGCACAGGAGGTTGGATGGCTAAGGGGCTCAATGTCATCAGGGCAATGAGCTGACATCGCCTGCAAATAAACTGGGTGACCAATGACTGTGGAAAACAACTAATCATCTAAAAAAAATCGGTTTTCACTAAATTCAGTATGTTTTTCCAAGCAATGTGGTGTTATTATCGTGCAATGAGCACGTCTCTCGCAGGGCATGCGATAATGTGCGCCACCGCGTTAACGTGACTTTCAGAAATGTCACATTCCACAGGCCTTTCTCAAACAATTGGCGAAGTACTTCTCTATCAGTGTTCCAAACAGACATTTCCTTGTCTCAAGGCATAACTTTAACCTGACGACCTGAGCTTGATTCCAGGCCAGGGCTAACATCAGTAGAGAGTATGATCTGAGCTGGTCCTTGAGCCCCTCCCTGCCTTCACCAATCCACACTGGCCAAGAC